CCCATCCAGGCATCATTAATCAGCTTGGGTTCATCAGCGGCAACATGGTTCATTAGCTTTGGCTGCTTGCGGTTGATGTTGTTGCCGCTGCTGCTTCTGCTGTGGCTGTTGCATCTTCTACCAAAGTGGCCGTTTGGCGGGCCGCTGTCGACGATTCTAATCATAAGGCAACAGCACCAGGAACGGGCTTGGGGTCTCCTCAGCCTCAGCCTCACCATCAGCATCAGGCTCAGCCGCCGGCAAAGTTAATTGGCTAGAAGTTTTGCATAGACGAAACCCAGCTGCAGCCGAATCCTCTGCCATTGGCTTATTTGGTAGCTTCTAGTCCCCAAAACCGCAGCCGCCGCAATGGCATTATCAACATCGGAAGGCCTCAAATCCCGCAGAGTCTTAGGCATATTTACATGCTTCTGTTTCTTTTTCGGCAGAGGGCTAAATCTGCTGGAATATACCATCCATATCCATATACACAGTGAGGCTGTGGCAATGATCTTGTCTGCTAGAGTCACGTCCGATAATGTTGACAGTTTCCAGCTGCTCCGGCAGCTACTGTTGCAAGTTCATAGTTGTAACTCCACGAGCGTGGGAATAAACCTGGTCACATGCTGGTCGTCAGTGGGGCCTCATGTGGCTACTGGTCGTAATGCACTCACACTCACCCGTCAATCCGCCGATGAAAAGTCTCTGGAAGTGTCTCTGGATTTGCCACATGCTGCTCAAAAGATTAGACTATCATATTCTTAGTTAGTTAATAAAATTTGCTTCAATCTATGCGTTTCTTTCCCCACTTTCATACCTCCATGCCAGTGTCGTTGACAGTTCCTGTTGGCAGCCAACAAGTCTATCAAAACTTGACAACATTTGCATCTGGCTGGCGGCCAGATGGGAGCTGAGCCAGATTAGTTGGCAACATCAGTAGCCTGGAACAGGGGCACTTGGGGTCTGGAAACATGGCAGAGGCAGCTACTGAGTTCCGCGACGACAGGATGCATAAAATTTATGAAACAACGACGCCTTTTGCGCACATAATTAAATCAGACAAAGCGTAGCTCATGTAAATCCCGGGGAGGAGACCAGGCCCAGCCCACAGAGACACCAGCCACATCGCCACCGGATGCTGGAGCCAGAAATGCAGCTTGACTATTTTTAATTACCGGGTAACATCTGCTCTAGCTTTAGCTCCAGCTGCCTGGCACTAGCACTGGCACTGTAATTGTTATGGTTTGTCATGGAGCTGCGGATGGGATGCGATGGGTTGGCTCGGGATCGGGCTAAGGCTCGGGACTCGCGAGAGTTCGAGAGACTGGGCAGGCATGCGAATCAATTACATATTACAGCCGCCGTCGACGTCACAGCGATTAACCGCAGTGACTTTGGAGAACTGTTCAAAACTAACCTGTTCGAGCGTCGATGCCGCTTTCATTAAAGTGCAAATTATGAGTTGCCAGTTCCGCCAGGTGTTGTGCCCGCCTGGCCTATTTGTCTTGAGTGGCTTGGCTTTGCTTTGCCTTTGGCCGACACCGCTCCCCGGTTCTCTGAATCGCTGGGAAGAGATCCCCCGATCAGTCGTGGCTCTGCCCTTTTACGTATAAAGTTATCAACGCCATCTTCGCCGCAGCTCCAAATCCAACAGCCCCACATTATTTACCGCTTTTACAACATTAATTGCCACCTCTGCGCATCTGGAGTTGCAAATGGCTTACATGTATCGCCTCCCCGTGATGGGCCCAAGGAAAAACTGAAGAAACTATTCAAGATTCTAAATATAAACGGGGCCTCTTAAAAGTATGGATCTCGAAATCGTTTGAGGTATTTTTCTTAGGAATAGTATGATTATTCGAAAGGCTAACATTTATTACTCTTCTACGAATTTTTCACAATTTTTTATACTGAAGGGTCATGGGAAAACATGAACAAAAATCTAAGAAAAAATTTTTAACCTAAATTTCAATACAAATCGGTAGAGAATCATTTTACTTATCATTAAAGGTACTCCGCTTAAGAATCGGATGATTATTGGCAGAGGTATAGCCTTCGCTGGGGGCCCATATAGTGGGTCCATGCATATTTGTGAATTTTTGTAGGGGACCCTCCAGAAAATTTGACAAAAAATCTAAAAAATATTATGTTGCTAGATTTTGATGCAGATTTGTGGAAAATTTATCAAAAATATTATGTTATTATAATATGTTATTATATTATAAAAAATACCAATCATTAAAGGTACTCCGCTTAAGAATCGGATGATTATTGGCAGAGATATAGCCTTCGCTGGGGGCCCATATAGTAGGTCCATGCATATTTGTGAATTTTTGTAGGGGACCCACCAGAAAATTTGACAAAAAATCTAAAAAATATCATGTTGCTAGATTTTGATGCAGATTTGTGGAGAATCGATCTACAAATCATTAAAGGTACTCCGCTTAAGAATCGGATGATTATTGACAGAAATATAGCCTTCCCTGCGGCCCATATAGTGGGTCCATGCATATTTGTGAATTTTGGTAGGGGACCCTCCAGAAAATTTGACAAAAAATCTCAAAAATATTACGTTGCTAGATTTTGATGCAGATTTGTGGAGAATTGATCTACGAATCATTCAAGGTACTCCGCTTAAGAATCGGATGATTATTGGCAGAGATATAGCCTTCGCTGGGGCCCATATAGTGGGTCCATGCATATTTGTGAATTTTTGTAGGGGACCCTCCAGAAAATTTGACAAAAAATCTAAAAAATATTATGTTGCTAGATTTTGATGCAGATTTGTGGAGAATCGATCTACGAATCATTCAAGGTACTCCGCTTAAGAATCGGATGATTATTGGCAGAGATATGCCAATAACTGGGGGCCCATATAGTGGGTCCATGCATATTTGTGAATTTTTGTAGGGGACCCTCCAGAAAATTTGACAAAAAATCTAAAAAATATTTTGTTGCTAGATTTTTATGCAGATTTGTGGAGAATCGATCTACGAATCATTCAAGGTACTCCGCTTAAGAATCGGATGATTATTGGCAGAAATATAGCCTTCCCTGCGGCCCATATAGTGGGTCCATGCATATTTGTGAATTTTGGTAGAGGACCCTCCAGAAAATTTGACAAAAAATCTAAAAAATATTATGTTGCTAGATTTTGATGCAGATTTGTGGAGAATCGATCTACGAATCATTCAAGGTACTCCGCTTAAGAATCGGATGATTATTGGCAGAGATATGCCAATAACTGGGGGCCAAATAGTGGGTCCATGCATATTTGTGAATTTTGGTAGAGGACCCTCCAGAAAATTTGACAAAAAATCTAAAAAATATTATGTTGCTAGATTTTGATGCAGATTTGTGGAGAATCGATCTACGAATCATTCAAGGTACTCCGCTTAAGAATCGGATGATTATTGGCAGAGATATAGCCTTCGCTGGGGGCCCATATAGTGGGTCCATGCATATTTGTGAATTTTGGTAGAGGACCCTCCAGAAAATTTGACAAAAAACCTAAAAAATATTATGTTGCTAGATTTTGATGCAGATTTGTGGAGAATCGATCTACGAATCATTCAAGGTACTCCGCTTAAGAATCGGATGATTATTGGCAGAGATATGCCAATAACTGGGTGCCCATATAGTGGGTCCATGCATATTTGTGAATTTTGGTAGAGGACCCTCCAGAAAATTTGACAAAAAATCTAAAAAATATTATGTTGCTAGATTTTGATGCAGATTTGTGGAGAATCGATCTACGAATCATTCAAGGTACTCCGCTTAAGAATCGGATGATTATTGGCAGAGATATGCCAATAACTGGGTGCCCATATAGTGGGTCCATGCATATTTGTGAATTTTGGTAGAGGACCCTCCAGAAAATTTGACAAAAATCTAAAAAATATTATGTTGCTAGATTTTGATGCAGATTTGTGGAGAATCGATCTACGAATCATTCAAGGTACTCCGCTTAAGAATCGGATGATTATTGGCAGAGATATGCCAATAACTGGGGGCCCATATAGTGGGTCCATGCATATTTGTGAATTTTGGTAGAGGACCCTCCAGAAAATTTGACAAAAAATCTAAAAAATATTATGTTGCTAGATTTTGATGCAGATTTGTGGAGAATCGATCTACGAATCATTAAAGGTACTCCGCTTAAGAATCGGATGATTATTGGCAGAAATATAGCCTTCCCTGCGGCCCATATAGTGGGTCCATGCATATTTGTGAATTTTGGTAGGGGACCCTCCAGAAAATTTGACGAAAAATCTCAAAAATATTACGTTGCTAGATTTTGATGCAGATTTGTGGAGAATTGATCTACGAATCGTTCAAAGTACTCCGCTTAAGAATCGGATAATTATTGGCAGAGGTATAGCCTTCCCTGCGGCCCATATAGTGGGTCCATGCATATTTGTGAATTTTTGTAAGGGACCCTCCAGAAAATTTGACAAAAAATCTAAAAAATATTATGTTGCTAGATTTTGATGCAGATTTGTGGAGAATCGATCTACGAATCATTAAAGGTACTCCGCTTAAGAATCGGATGATTATTGGCAGAGATATAGCCTTCGCTGGGGGCCCATATAGTGGGTCCATGCATATTTGTGAATTTTTGTAGGGGACCCTCCAGAAAATTTGACAAAAAATCTAAAAAATATTATGCTGCTAGATTTTGATGCAGATTTGTGGAGAATCGATCTACGAATCATTAAAGGTACTCCGCTTAAGAATCGGATGATTATTGGCAGAGATATGGCCTTCACTGGGGATTATTGGCAAAAATATAGCCTTTATTGGACAGTTCCGTCAGCCTTTGCTTGAGCCAATACATAAATTAGATTTAAAAAAAAAAAAAAATACCACTATATCAAGATCAGCTAAAAAACGTGTTTATTTACAATATTTAACTAGTATCCATGAACCAGCTGTTATTTGTTTAAATTTTGTTTGCTCATCCTATAGCCTTCCAACACTGTCCTTAAAAAGGTTGGCAGCACATCTCACAAACAGTCTGGCATCTCAGTTCTGCGCTACGAAAAAAAGGTTACGTTTTCCAGCACTGTCGTCCTGCAGTTGGACGTTTTCCGTAAAATAAACAAATAATAACAAATATACCCACAGAACAATGGTCAGTACAACAAAATATATATCTAAGCAATATTGCGCATATTAGAGGATAGGAAACAAGTTGAAATTGTTGATTAGCGCCTTTGTTTTTACCAGGGCCGCCTTTTTGTTCTGCAGCGACAGCTTGGTCACAAGTGTTGTTGTTGTATTTATGCAATTCCACACAGGCCAGGAATCATCTTAGGGCGAAACACTCATCCAGAAAATTTTATTTTGCAGAACAAATTGAAGTCCAGCCAACACCGCGACAAGGTGAAGAAATTCATATCGTTGACACAAACAGGCGAACAGACAGCAATTTTCTGCCTGCAACAAAACGATTGGAAGATGGATCTAGCCAGTGACAACTACTTCCAGAATCCAGACTACTATTATCGCGAGCTGGATCGTAAGCGAATCGAGCAGCTCTTCGGACGTTATCGTGATCCCAGCGATCCTCTTAAGATCAACTCACAAGGCGTGATCCGCTTCCTAGACGACCTGGAGCTGAAACCCGACTCCCAACTAGTGCTCATCATTGCGTGGAAGTTCCACGCCGAGGTGCAATGCGAGTTCTCGCGCGACGAGTTTATAAACGGAATGTGCGACCTGGGCATCGACAGCATCGATAAACTCAAGGCCAAGCTGCCGATCCTTGAACAGGAATTGAACGATGCCGGCAAGTTTAAGGACTTCTATCACTTCACTTTCAACTATGCTAAGGATCCAGGCCAGAAGGGGATCGATCTGGATATGGCCATTGCATACTGGTGCATTGTACTGAGCGGGCGCTTCAAGTTTCTGGACATCTGGTGCCAGTTTCTCGAGGAGAAGCACAAACGGGCCATTTCGAGGGACACCTGGAATCTACTGCTCGACTTTGCTACCAACATCGACGACCGGATGAGCAACTACGACTCTGAAGGCGCCTGGCCGGTGCTAATCGATGACTTTGTCGAGTGGTGCCAAGAGAACAACCATCTTAAGGACGACTCCTCCCAGGGATTCCAGCAGCAGTCCAGCTCCAGCACCCAAAACCAGAAGATATCTAGCGCCTACCAGACCTCGCACAGTACAAACATGAACTATGGCTAACGAATTGTTATTTGTGTTGTATTCTCATTAATGATAGATTTGCTTTTATTCTGATTATTCTAAATAACGGAGAAACTAAGCAACGCCGGTAAATTTACAATTTCTCTATAAAAGCGTAATAAATAAATTTAGTAAATGTAAATGGTATATCTTTTTAATAGAAATCTTATAATGGGAATCCCCAGGATTAAAATAACAATAATACATTTTGTTTTAAATAAGTTAAGCATTAGTTTAACACGTTTTTAAATAAAATATAAAAATTAAAACACTACTTTTACTTGTTGGGTCGGTTATATGGTCACACTGTGATCGAAATTAGAAAGTTATTGATATTCTTACATTATTTGACTTTTATTTTGCAAAATAAAAATGTATAGCTTTAATAAAAGTAAAGTATTACAACTTAAAAGCTAAGGTAGTTTAAATGAATTATTAAAAACACACCAAAAGCTAAAAAAGAAAATCAGTTTTTAAAAATCCCGCCCATTGAAAACACAGACGAAGAGCTGCCAGACTTTTTTCGCCAAAAGCTATTGGGTGATACCCCCGAACGACACATCTCTAGTGGTAAGACCGTGCTGTTGATTGATATTGTTACAACGATTTTTCTTCGCTGTTAAAATTATTTAATAATCTCGATTAAAAAGCGTGCGAGGCACGCGTGTGTGTGTCTATAGCACAGCACCCATCCTGCGTATAAAATGTAAAGTGCCAAATCCAATGTCACGGGCGAATTAGTTGCCAAATACGAAACTGAACCCCCGTAATCGGTGTAAGTGTGTGCGTGTGTGGGCGAAGGAGCCCCACCGTACACAGACACTCATGAAAACCCCCCCCCAAACTGTGGTTGCTGTTGTTGTTGTGGTCTTTTCTTGGTCTCGGTCTCGGGCCATAATTAATTTCGGCTCCTAAATCCTTTGCCCTTGGTTGCGTTCTATTCTGTGCAATCATAATCAAATCCGAGCAAATAGCTGACGCGTTTGCGAATCCAATTATCATCCGAATAACTCGCGCGTCTCTCGAAATTTAAACAAATACCACCCAGATCCAGACGCATGTGTCTGCGTGTGTTTGCACCCATATTAGTGTGTAAATAAATGCCACTAAACATACAAAAAAAAAAAATAAATAAAAAAAAATAAACGAAAACAAACGCTAGCTGATAACCGCAGAAGTCGGACTACGACAACGTCGAGACCTCGGTATAGCACCATTTACGACCAGCAGCGCACACACGGTGCTCTCGTGCCGTGTCACCTATGTGGCTACATATACCCTATACAACTAGAGCAATAGCTGCGCCCGCCCCCACCTCCACTCGCGGACAGTCCCCGATCCCCACCTGCAGATAATCTGGCAGCGCAGGGAGATTACTGGTCCACGGGACAGAGGGTAAACAAAGGGATCCAAAACATGACACTGAAGTCTTATTTAAAACTGGATTTAGTTGGTGGAAATATCTCTATAATTTAATTATTCATTTTAGTTTTAAAAAAAGTCTATTTTATAGAGTTTTTTATAAATATTTTATGTAAGCTTCACCATACTTCCGTGTATGAATACATATACACATATTTTCGTACTTACTCATCCCTTTATTTCAAAATAATATCCATTTTTGTTTTCTTTATATTCAGAAAAGTATCATATACTTGTTGTGAGTGTTTTTATAAAAGTTTTGGGATTTAGTTCAGGGGCTTATCTACGCAAAGAGCTCTTCAAACTTGGCATACCCTTACTTTTATGGCAGACAGCATCTTGGATGTTTATCTGAAAAATATATAGAAGAATATAGCCTAGAATCTGTTTAATTATTCCTTCAATCTTTTATCTTAATAGCTTTATTACAACTTTAAGTTAAGCTCCTTTACTCTCCTTACTTTGTTTTAAAAATATATATAATTAAAATGTATATTATAATGTTTTTAAGACAAAGAACCTGAATCTTTCTTGAAATATATCCAAACCCTCTTAAAAGAAAGATATATCCCCACACCCTGCCCTTTTTTTTTGTGAAAACCCTGCCCCGAAACCGAGTGGGCGGACAGACACTTCCAATACACAAAACTTTCTGTGTATTACATATTAATTTATTTCCATTTTTAACCGACTTATTTATTTTTTTCGTCGCTCGTCGGCGACTCGTGCAAAGTGACAACTCAACGAGATTAATTAGCCCTGGGGCTTGTATGAGAAAGCAATTGCCAGTGTCCGGGGATCGGGGACTGGACGGAAACTGGACTGAACCGAACTGGGAAACGCTTCGCGCCCACCGTATGCTAATTAATTTCTCTTATTGCAGCCGCCGCAGCCACCGCCATGCCCAACAGTCGCCGCCACAACAGCCGGGAGAACAACAACATGCGAGCCCGTTAACGTCCGAGAGAAGCAAGAAGCCAGATCATGAGTCGTCAGGAGGCAGCTGGAGCCCGTCCAGCTGTGGCCACCGTCGCATCTGTCGCAGCACCAACATCATCCTCGTCCTCATCGTCGCATTCGTCATCCAACTCGGCGAACGCCGTTCTGACCAGCAAGATATCCACCTCCACGCCACAGAAGGGCGACGAGCAGAAGGAGCAGGAGTTCATCAACCGGAGTGTCGCCAGCGAGATCGATGCCAGCGATGCTATGGCCATGTCCATCTCGGGATCCGTATCGGCGGACAGCAGCAGCTGCACCACTGGCGCCGCCATGAGCGGCAGTCCGGTGGCGAAGCGGCACCTGAGCACGGCCAATATATCGAGGATTCGCCCCCAGTCGAGCTACTCGGCTCGAGTGCTTATTTTCGACGACTCCGACCAGGAGGCGGCTGCCGCAGCAGCTGCTTTGGCCGCCGCCTCGTCCTGCAACAGCAGCGTCAAGTCCTGCAGCGGTCTGGAGCTGCTGCCCACGTCGCCGGCCAAGCTGTCCATCGGCAACGACAGCGCCAACGGCTCCTCGATGATGCGAAACCTGAATCTGACGAAGAGCTCCTCCGGCGGCCTGTCCGGAAGTTCTAGTTCGCTGCACTCTCGTGGCTACACAGCTCTGCTCCGAAAGATCTCCTACCAGCAGCACACCAACTCGCTGCGTGGAGTTAGCAGCGGTAAGCCACTGGAGCAACGCATGATTCCAGTTTACAGAATATCTTATCGTTTAAAGCTAGCCAATTAGCGCCCTTGTCCCAAGTTTCACTGGGAGAGTTCCTCCTTTCCAACATAATCTGGTTTAAATTAGTTAGTTGCTATTATTTAATACTAATCTTTGTTAATCATGTTGCAGAGGCCTCCAACCTGCTGCGCATGCGGCACTCCTCGCTGGGAAAGTCGGCTCCCTGCCTCACCGGCAACTATTTCCGCCACGAACTGGCCGCGCCACCGTCTATTCAGGCTCCCGGCCAGGGGGCTTGCCCCTCGCCCGGCCACAACATATCGCGGTCGGGCAGCTGTGCTGGAATCGGTCTGGCCAAGCACCATCATCACCACCATCTGCACGGCGTTGTGATGCGAGGATCGGCCGGAGGAGGTGCCGGCTCTGGTGGCGGCTCCACCTCGAGCGGCGTGGCTCACCATCGCCTCAGTCTGGTGACGAATGCGGCTGCTTTCGCGGCGGCCGGCGGATCTCGAGCTCACTCGCCCTACTCGGCCAGTCCCGTGGACAGTCCGCGGCTGAATTCCCCAATGCCATTTGCATTTGCTCCGATAAAACGGATCGCCTCCTGCCGCGGCGTTGTAGACGGGCGCCGCTGGTCAGTGGCCTCACTACCCTCCTCCGGATACGGCACCACTCCGGGAAGCTCCAATTTATCCGTGAGTTTCCGGACCAAGCACCAAAGGCTACATCTTTGCTAATGTACTCCATTACAGTCTCAGTGCTCCAGCCAGGAGGGCCTCAACCAGTTGTCGCACAACATTCCGCCCGGAGTCCAGGAGGCGGATGCCGCCGCCGTGGCCGCGGGTGCCTGCTGTGCCGAGCACCTCAAGCAGCATTGTCCCAAGCACTGTGCTCTGCTGCTCGCGGTGGTCCAGCAGAAGCAGCCGGCTCCTCAGATGCAGCAGCAGCCACCGAAGCCGTCGCAGCTGCAGCCCCAAAAGCTGGTGCCGACTTCCTGTGTCAATTGCTGCGCTGAGCTGAGCCTGGCCTGCGGTGGTCAGCAGATGGGAGGCGGCACCCCTGCCCCTGGCTCCACTTCGAATGCAGGCGCCGGTCGGATGTCGCCCTACTTTCGTCCACGCTCCCGATCGCTGTCCAGTCCATCGCGATCGCCCATCGTGGACAACGAAATCGCGGTGATGAACACGCTGTACAAGGAGCGCTTTCCGAAAGCCACCCAGCAAATGGAGGAGCGCCTGAAGCACTTCATCAACGAGAACAAGAGTGCTGCCTGCAACAGCTTCCGGGACTCGCAGCCCATCGTGCGGTAAGGCCACTGGAATCTCCCTAATAATAGTAACCTTTAATATTATCTTCCTCCAGCTTTGTTCACCACCAAGTACTGGAGATGGCTAGGGACTGCCTGCACAAGTCGGAAGCCAAGCTGATTACCTCGCAATACTTCTACGAGCTGAGCGAGAATCTGGAACGTCTGCTGGTGGAGACCAAGGAGAAGTCCCCGGAGGCCGCGGCTGAACTAAACGGCGTCATCAAGAAGCTGCTGCTGATCATCTCGCGGCCGGCCCGACTGCTGGAGTGTCTGGAATTCGATCCCCAGGAGTTCTACGAACTGCTAGAGGCTGCTGAAGGTCATGCCAAGGCCATGCCGGTGATCAAGGCAGACATTCCGCAGTACATCATTCACAAGCTGGGCTTGAATCGAGATCCCATCGCCGAACTGCAGCAGGAGTTGCGGGAGACCCAGCAGATGTGCTCGGAGCAGGTCACCGTGGATGCGGATCCGTTGCAGCCGGGCGGGAGCTTGCTTCTCAACTCGCCCCTGACCAGTGCAGCCAAGCAGTTGAGCAATCTGGCCTTGGATTCCATTGCCCTGGACTCGGGCAGCGGTCAGGCGACTCCGCAACAGCCTCCCCAAACGCCAGTGGCCACTAGTGACACGGCCCCTTCGTTTGCTCTAGCTGTCAGCCAGTTAAGCGAGGAGAAGCCTCAAGTGGGCGGTGGCTCAACCGGATCCACTGTAACCCCTGGTCCAGTGGCAGTAGCTGGTGGCTTGGCCGGTTCGGGAGCCGGAGCCGGCCAACAACCCCTTCCCCACGAAAACGACTTTGACATCGTCAAGCTGATCTCAAACGGTGCCTACGGAGCCGTCTACCTGGTGAAGCACAAGACCACCCGTCAGCGCTTCGCCATGAAGAAAATCAACAAGAACAATCTCATCCTGCGCAACCAGGTGGAGCAAGTGTTCGCCGAGCGGGACATTCTTTCGTTCGCCGACAACCCGTTCGTGGTCAGCATGTACTGCTCCTTCGAGACCAAGAAGCACTTGTGCCTGGTGATGGAGTACGTCGAGGGCGGGGACTGCGGCACGCTTCTGAAGAACATCGGCCCGCTGCCGGCCGACATGGCGCGCTTCTATTTCGCCGAAACAGTATTAGCCGTGGAGTATCTGCACAGCTACGGCATCGTGCACCGGGACTTGAAGCCGGACAACCTGCTGATCACGGCCCTGGGCCACATCAAGCTCACAGACTTTGGCCTGTCCAAGATGGGTCTGATGTCCCTGGCCACCAACTTGTACGAGGGCTACATCGACTCGGAGACCCGACAGTTTTCCGACAAACAGGTAGGACCATTGCAGGTATTCTGAAGTCCCTTCTCCTAAGTGGTTTCTCCCCCAGGTGTATGGCACTCCCGAGTACATAGCCCCCGAGGTAATCCTGCGACAGGGCTATGGCAAGCCGGTCGACTGGTGGTCCATGGGCATCATCCTCTACGAGTTCCTCATCGGCTGCGTGCCGTTCTTTGGGGAGACGACGGAGGAGCTGTTCGCGCACACCGTCAACGACGACATCGAGTGGCCGGACAGCGAGGACTGGCCAGTGCAGGCGGAAGCCAAGGACATCATCACTCAGTTGCTGCAGCAGAATCCGCGCGACCGATTGGGCACCCAAACGGGCGCACTGGAGATGAAGGAGCACGAGTACTTCCACGGCATGGACTGGAACTCGTTGCTGCGCCAGAAGGCGGAATTTGTTCCCCAGTTGTCCCACGAGGACGACACCAGCTACTTTGATAGTGAGTGTTGGCCCCTTTTGGAAACTGAATCATGTAATATATCTTAACATCCCTAACAGCTCGCATGGATCGCTACAACCATGATCTTGGGGGTGAGGACACGGACGACACGGATGACACACCCGTTTTCGGAAGCTTCAACTCGTACACGCCGCAGTATAGGAAACAGCATTACAGCTGGTCGCGGCATGCCACGCTCTCGGCTACCGATGGAGCCAAGCCCCTGGGGCCTCCCACTCTGACGTCGCTGCCATCGCGTGCCCAGGAGACTCCCATGCCAACAGCAGGCGCCGCGGCGACTGGAGCCCTGCCCAAGCTGAAAACTGGAATGGGAAGCGGCAGTGGCAGTGGTTCGGGATCCGGTTCGGGTTCGGGTGGAGCTTCAGCCGAGGGAGTGGTCAACAAGTTCTTGAATACCCCGCAGCTGCGTAAACTGGATGTGAGTATCGATGCGGCACTCAGATATTGAAGATCTTAAAATGTAACCCTTGATTTCCAGTTGTCCTCCAGCTGCTTGAAGGTGCCGTCCACTCCGGACGCCGACTACCTGCCCGAGCTGCTCCACAACGTCACCATTGGCAACGATGCGGAGCTGCGCATGCTGAAGCACTACCTCCAGCAACCGACTCCGTCGGCCACTCAGCGCCTGCAACAACGGCACAGCATGCCGCCGAATACCACCACGATCATCAGCACGCCAGCCACTCCGCCGCCCGCTCAGACCCAGGCGACAACGACCCAGGCCACTCCGCCCACTGCTACGGTTGGCAGCTTCTCGCGCAGCACGCCCGAGAGCTCGCAGACGGACAGCGACGACTTCTCGCCGCAAATCAACCGCAAGCGCAAGGGAGTCTGCGCCCGGGACATCCTGCCGCGCTTCTCCATCTCCATAGAGGATGAGACCATCTCGGCCGGAAGCTCCTCCACGGAGAACATGAACTTGCCCCGCGAGCAGTCGCCGCTGGCTCTCCAGCACCAGCCCAAGTCCATGGACGGCAGCAGCAGTGGCAGCAGCCTGAAGCACCACCGCTCCAGGTCGATCGTCAAGTCGGCCTCTGCTCTGGGACTCTCCCTGATGACGTCGCTGGACAACAGCCAGTTGGCCGCACAACTGTGCGGAATCCAGTCTCCGGGCGGTGGCGGCAACGGCTCGAGCACGGCAAGCTCCAGGGACACCTCTCCGTGCCGGGAACTCTCTCCCTTGGTGACCAATCTCAAGCCACCGATCATCATCCGCCGGGGACCGCGTGGGTTCGGGTTCACTGTCCACACCATAAGGGTGTATTATGGAGACACCGATTTCTATACAATGCACCACCTGGTGATGGCCGTGGACGAGGGCAGTCCGGCCTTCGAAGCGGGACTGAGGCCAGCAGATCTCATCACCCACGTCAACGGAGAAGCTGTGCAGGGGCTGTTCCACACGCAGGTGCTACAGCTGCTACTGAGTGGTGGAGAACATGTCACCCTGCGGGCCACTCCGCTGGAGCACACCAGCATTCAGAGCGGTGGCCGCAAGCGCGATCTCATGCAGAGCAAGCTGGCCAAGAAGGGCCTGAACCGCCAGAAGAAGCAGACGAAGCGGGAGCACGACAAGAAGCGGAAGACCTCACTCTTCCGTCGGATCAGTAGCAAGCGCGCCAATGCGGAGATGCAGCAGGTGAGTTCCCTGGACTCTGGAGTCCCATCCAGTATTGACCTCCAGTACTTTCAGTACTCCGCCGGCACAAGTTCACCCACCACGCCATCGGCCCGAAACCTTTCGCCGCTGGACTCCTCATACCACAGCAGCTGCTGCCAGTCGGCTGCCAACTCCTCCTCCCAATCCACCTCGCCCTCCTCCTCTTCGCCCAACACACCCACCGGCTCCAGTGCCTCCAACAACGGGGGCAACGGCGCCTCGGCACCGGTTCCGCCATCGGCCCTCAGTGTGCAGTTGCCCCTGGCTCCGTCAACGGCGCAGGTGGTACTCTTGCCCCACGTGGGAGCTGCCGTCGGAAGCAGTCCCACTTCTGTAGGAAACGTACCAGGTAACTAGTATTCCCAGGTGTATAAGGACCTCCCCTAACATACTCTCTTGTAGTGTCTCCCACTGGGGTCGTTCCGCAACTCTATCAGCGTCCATCCACTCTACATGGTCTCAAGCACAAGCTGCACGCAGCTACCGCAGTGATAGCCGGTGGCGGAAATGCCAACAATCCCGCCGGAGGACTGAAGACTCTGCACACCACGAGCAACAACTCGCTGCCAAATCGTCGTAAGTCCGTGGGCCATATTCCGCTGTCCCCGTTGGCGCGAACGCCCTCACCGTCGCCCTTGCCCTCGTCGCCCACGAGGTCGCCATCGCCGTTGGCCTTTCCGCTAGTGGGCCACCAGCCGGGAGCCTCCAACACCACTCAGTCCTATAGTCCGGGAAGCACGCTGCCCACTCTGCAGGCGACGGTGAACCCGAACAACAAAAAGGGAGGATTCGCCAGGACCAAGTCAGCGGAGCCCAGTTCCCCTCTGCTGCGACGTGCATTGTCTCCGGATCGACTGCATCCACGGAGTGCCGAGACGAAGATTTCCCCCCTCTGCTGCTCTCCGCCGATTAAGCAGCCGACTCACCAACGAGTGGTCACCACAACCTGGCGCCCAACTCCGGGAGGCAATGGAGCAGGTGCTGGAGCACCCCCAGTGGTTACTGGAACAAGTGCTGCTGTCGGAGCCCAACCTCCCCAGATGGCGTCGGCCGCCCCTGAAGAATCTCTAAGACAACCAGGGGCGGCTGCAGTTCCCCCTCCTTCCGCCGGAGCTGAGCAAAGTAGCGTTGCTGTGGTGACCTTGGCCAACTGCGAGCCCCTGCCGCGCATTGCGGAGGAGAAGGACTCGCCCACCAGCACCCAGGACAGCAGCAGTGTGTCCGAGGGGTTCATGCCCGCCATCGAGGAGTACGCAGAGGGGGAGTCCTCGTCCTCGCCCACCCAGACCCTCGAGAAACCGGTGAAGGTCAAGGCCAGTGAGCAACCGGAAATGGAGCCGGCTGGCAAGGCCAAGAAGGTCGAGCTGGGTGAGTGGCAGGAGCCATTGAATACTAGAACCAGGAGTAATTGTTTCCATTCCACGCTTGCAGGTAAAACCACAGCTGGAACCGCACCCAAGGCCAAGCTCCAGAGCAGTGGCTGTAAAACTTCGATGACAACGACAAAGCCGGCCAGTCCCAGCGTGACCATAACCACTGGACCACGCAAGGACCCTACGGCTACCACAGCGCAGCCCGCAGCTGCTGCCATGGGGAGCTCTGGGGCCAAACAGAGAAAGTAGCGCCAGGGAGCCCGGGGTGGCTACGGATGTTTGTGTTTCAAGTTTCGCGTTTGAATGATGAACCTATTGGATGGACAGTGTGGGTGTGGAAGCGGATGTGATGATGGTGGCAAGTTTCGCGTTTGAATGATGACCCTATTGGATGGATAGTGTGGGTGATGATGGTGGCAACCCAGGTGATGGCCTCTGATGATGGTGGCAACCCAGGCCGCAGGAATTCAATATATTTATAGAGGGGGAATGCGTTTTAAAGTTATTTCGAAAGTAAGCTTGTGTTTTTTGCGCAAAACCTACAATTTAGCAATGAAAATAATTAGAAAATTCTGAAACCTAGTAGCTTGTAGCATGTCGTAACTAATAGTAACCAACAAAAACATAAAAAAAAAAACATATATCGCTTAAAAGTCTTAATGTAAATTGGTAGGCACGATATTCCAGTTAATGCAAATCCAAGAGGCACCACCACGCAATTATCTCTTCTGTACATAAATGTGTAACATTGCTAGAATTAATCAATTTTTCAAAGTCTACGGAGTCGGAGTCGGAGTCAGGACAGTAGCAGAGTCATGAGTCATCCCAGGATGTGGGATGCGGAGTGTGCCCCCCCATAATGGATCTTTATAACAATTTTTGCGAATCTATACACTATGCCGAATTCAATATAAAGTCTATATATTAAATAAATGTTATATGTGTGTGTATTAAACATGATTTCTTTATTATTATTAGTTTAAGATTTAAATCTATTAATTTTTTACATTTATTTCCTTCCTCTTCCCTTGCCGGGCTTCCCCTTCCCCTTGCCACCGCCGGCCTTGTTGCGCTTGTTTTTCGCATCCAGCGACCGTTTGTCCTTCTTCTCGCGGGGATCCACCACGCGGTAGCGACCCTTGACACCGGCCGGACGACGGGCACGCCGCGACGCCGACTGCTTCTTGGCGACCACGTAGGTGATCTCTTTCCGCTTCTCCTGGGCCTTCTTGTAGACCTTCTTGAGCTGCTTGGCCTTCTCGTGGCTGGTGGCGTCGGCGTTCTCCATGATCTTCTCGGCCATCTTCTTGGCCTTGGCCATGCGCTTGGTGGCGCGGCGCTTCTTGCGCGCCTTGGCCTCCATCACCTTCTTGATGGGCCGGGCGTTGAGCTCCAACTTCTTGCGCTCGTACTCATCGGCCAGCTCCTTGGGCACCGGGTTGGTTTTGGTCATGTGCTCGGCCTCGTCCTGCACGAACCAGGTGGGAAGGTTTTCGTCGTTGAAGGCGTATCGGTTCCAGGACGCGTCGATCAGGTCCCGGCGTGTCTTCTTGCCGCGAATCAGCAGCGACCCCAAAGCCAGCTCGTTCTCCGTGAGGCGCACCTTCTTCGCCTTTCCCTCCGCCGAATCCCCCCCGTTGGTCGCGTCCTCCTCCTCGGAGTCGGAGGACTCGGAGCTGCTCTCCTTGTCGACGGCATGGCGGGCTCGTCGCTTGGCCTTCTTTCCCTGAACCCTCTCCTGGTCCGCACCGTTGGTGAGCGTGCTCTCGCCCAATATCTGGATGCCCTTCGAGTTCAGATCCTTCGTCAGGTTGTCCAGATCGAAGTTGGCTTCCTCGTCGTCCGACTTGATGTTCTGGAGGTTGTCCTTCTCGTACCACAGCTGGACGCGCTGGTTCCGCTTGGTGTTCTTGTCGCGAAAATCGCTGGACTTGATCAGAGGATTGTCTGTGCGTTGCTTCTTTTTGCCCTTCTTGGCGCCCCCATCCTCGTCGTCGCTCAGGTCCAGGCCACGTTTTCCCAGATTCTCGTCGTCCTCATCGCTGTCGCTGGCTTCATCCTCCTCGTCGTCGTCGTTCTCATAGTTGGCATCGTCGTCCAGCCGCTTGTCGTCCTTGTCGTACCGCTTGTACTTGTCCAGCTTGGGCTGCTCCACAGGATCATCATTCAGGGCGAAGTCGGGCTCCACATCTAGCATATTCGTGAGCTCCTCATCTGTACGGATGCCCTTGAGGTCAAAGATCTCGTGCTCGGCCTCCTCGACCGGGCCATCGTCCCCCTTGATCAGCATGTTGAGGTTCATCTTTTCGTGCAACTTTGACTTAATCTTGAGGGTTTTCTTCTTCTTCCGCTTCAGCTCCTTCAGTTCCTCATCCTTGAGCTCAGTAATCTGCTGCTGCAGCTCGGCATCCTCCATGTCTTCAACTCCGGCTTGAGTCAGCGGCTTCACCGCCTCCTCCTCGATGGGGGTCTTGTCCAGCTTCTTCTCCTGGAAGCCCAAGCTCTCCCTGACTGTCTTCCACCACTGTATGAGGCCCTTGATGTCCTTGCGGCCCAGAACCTTTATATCCTTGCAGCACTCCAAGATCTCCTTTGTGGTCTTCTTGTGACTGGCAATGCGTTCGTCGTCGATGACCACAGATCCCACTTCTTGGAGGGCAGCCAAGGCATTCTCTGCCTTCATGAACTCCAGTGCGGACAGTTCATTACGCAGGGCAACCTCCTTTTCAGTGTAGCCCTCGGCTTTGATGCGCTTCTGCTTATCCGGATGCAACAGGCTGTTCTTCGCCTTGGGTTCCAGGTCGAGCTCCTCGAACACGTACTTGGGGTCCAGCAGGCGGTGATCGATGTGGTTGGGTGCCAAGTAGCCCTGGCAGACGACGAATATCTCGGCAGACTCCTTACGGGAAGCACTCGGCTTGGTGGCATGGACCTTCTTGAACAGCTGCTTCAGGACCCAGAGCAGCGCGTTGTAGTCCTTGGAACGGAACACCTTGGTCACAAACCAGCCGCCGCTGCGCAGGAACTGGGTGGCCAACTTGAGCGAGTTGAGGGTCAGGCATATCTGTTGGTAGGCGTCGTAGAGCCAGTTGCGTCCCACATTGGGTGCTCCGTCGTGCAGCACCACGTCGGCCTTCCATGACTGTAGCTCCTTCGTCAGCGACTGACGACACTTCTCAGTGGTAATGTCCTCCACCAGGCCGATGCATCCTGCGATGGGTCTGATCGGGAACAGATCTACGCCTATCACAATGCTGGAAACAGGCATGTTCTGTTTGGCCACCTGCATCCAACCGCCGGGAGCGGCACACAGATCGAGGCATACTTGCGACTGTTGGAGGAAACCGAATTTACGGTTCAGCTGGATCAACTTGAAGGCGGCACGCGACCGGAATCCAGTCTCCTTGGCTAGCTGGTAGAACTTGTCCTTTCTTGTTTTTCCAACTTTTGATTTCTTTCCCATTTTGCTATCAAACTCAAATCAAGAAACGAAAAAGAATTCAACTTCTTGCACGTGTTCCGTGCTAGAGTGACCAGATCTGGATTTTGCCATCATATGTTGTAAACAATGTTGCTAAATTAGGTCATTTCTTAAAAACACCTTCTATATCTAATTAAATTATTAAAAATAGGCATAACCATGACAGAATGTTTTCAAGAACATTTATTGAACAATAAAAGATTATAAGTTATATTATAGTGACCCCACCCCAACCCCCTTATGTTACGCCCATGTCGAAAGGTCATGGCCTTATTTGTTTACCAACACTGGTAGTTTTTGCCAGCTGTGCAATTGCGTTTTTGGCCCAATTACTTCATTTTAATTTACTTATTAAATGCAAATATGCTGCCCAAACTGAAGATTTCCGCCTTCCTCCTCAAGGTAAGAGTCCAATACCTCGCTTGGAATGTAATCAGTGATCTGGACTCTCATATTTCAGCGCCTGGAGCGAACGAAGCAACAATGCAGCGGTTGTTTATATGGTGTCTTTTACGGCGACGGCACCTTGCTGCTCTTGAGTTTCAACCTGGAGTCCAGTCTCGGGCAGTTGAACTACGAGCACATCCAGCACAGATTCCCCGCCGAGCTGGACCTCTGCGGCTTGGTGAAGTTTGGAGACTGCACGGACGGCGAGGCACACCTTAATGAGGTCATCAAATCGGTGGACATCACCGACAATCCCATTCTGCTACAGTGCCAGCTTGGCACGTTGGTCGGGCTACGGGCCTCGTTTTTCGTCCATGGGAAACTAGAGGAGGCGCAGTACGAAGTGATGGAAGCGGAGCAACTTTACAACGACTTCTGCTTCACGCGGCTGAAGTGTGGCTACTTCCTCCAGACAGCCGCCACACCCGAGGCTGTGGCTCGGGAAATGCACGTTCTGCGAAAAAGGGTGGCCGATGGCAGTCTCGTGTTCAATGTGCCCCAAACTAAAATATTCATCAACAGCTGCGGGCCGTTGGATGCCAGATTCACCAGCGAATCCCAGATACAAGACCTTATCAATGCCATTCCACCTCCTGAGCAGGAAAGAGATGCCTCAGGAGGAGACAAGAAGAAGAAAGCTAGTCAGAAAGAGCCCGTAAAGCACCTGGCCCCGTCTGGTTGCGACTACGAGGTGATTCCCATTGACGTTATGCGCTGCCGAAGTCGAGACGCCGTCACCAGGGACTCTCCGCCACACCCGGCGCTGAGTATCGCTGTGATCAGTGACGAGCAGATCAAGGTGGAGGTCCCCCTGGAAATCGAGGCCATGGCCATCCTCTGCCGGAAGACCAAGCTTCTGCGGCTGTACGACGTTCTCATCGAGAGCATCTGCCGGGCCCTGAGATTATTTGAGTTGAGCCTGGTGGAGCATCTCACAGAAGCCGAGACTGGCAAGCTATTGGTTCCCCGGAGCTACCATTTCTATCCTCAGGAATTCGGGCATTTCGTGAGCTGTGCCTACCTGGAGGGACTGGGAGATGACGATCCCAACATGCAGGAGCGGCGCAAGCGAATTCATCGGCAGTTCGGGCTGCCTGTCAGCCGTCCTTACTTCCGTCGAACCAACCAGATCCACTTCGACATCGAAACAGAGGACGCTCCGTGGACGCCACTGCTTAACACCCACATCGGAGTCCGTCCCAGCGGTGTGACTGATGGCAAGGAGTACTTAGTAAACGGAAACTACCACTACTATCACTACCTTCAGCAGCAGGTGCAGGACAAGGGATGGGGCTGCGCCTACCGATCGCTGCAGACGATCTGCTCCTGGTTTCTCCTGCAGGGATACACGAGTGCTTCCATACCCACGCACTTGGAAATACAGGAATATCTACACAAAATCAACGACAAGCCGGCTTCCTTTGTGGGCTCATCCCAGTGGATTGGCTCGACGGAGATAAGCATGTGCCTGCAGGGATTCCTAAACGTGGACTCGAAAATATTGCATGTCTCCACGGGAGCAGAGCTGGCGACCGTTGCCTCAGAGCTGGCCATGCACTTCCAGACACAGGGAACGCCGGTCATGATTGGCGGAGGTGTGCTGGCCCACACGATCATCGGAGTGGACTACTGCGTGCAATCGGGTCAGGTGAAGTTCCTGATACTCGACCCCCACTACACAGGCGCTGATGATCTGGCCACCATCCAAATCAAAGGGTGGTGCGGCTGGAAGGGAATGGACTTCTGGGCCAAGGGCAGCTACTACAACTTGTGTATGCCCCAGCGCCCAATTCTATACTAAGGGGTGTCCATTTGCATTTAGTTAGGATGGGGTGGGTCGATCTTCCCTAGGAGTTAGGACACAAGTTCTAATAGTTTTAAAGTCATGCATGAGATAGATCCCAGCATCCGGGAAGATAATATGAATTTATTTTAGACATTTATTCTTGGCTTACACTGTGATCTTTATCCCCATTTCGATGTACCCGTTTCCATCTTCCTTTCTTCTCAAAACTATAGAGATCGACTTGCCCTAGGATCCCAGTTGAGGTCAAGCTATAACGTGGTTTCGTGTATATTTAATTCCGTAATTGGTAATTGTAATGTTCTCCTTGTTACATGTCGATGATATATCTCCTCCATACCTTATGCAATATATTAAAATATTAGCTTGGAAACAATATGAATGTGACTCGTGCAATCCCATTCGAAACTACGGCTAGCCTCCGCCCTTGGAGTACTTCTTCCAATACCTCTTCACGTCGTCGTGGCCGTTCTTCTGGACCACCATTGTGCGTGTGCGCTCATTCTGCCACACAAGTACTTGGATGGACTGAGCATAATCCCTGAGTGTGACAAAGTCGTTCTGCGACAGGAACTGATTGTATACCACGCCCTCCGTATAAGTGAACCGGTTGCGCTCCATTTCCCACAGCTTGATCTGATCGACCACGGTTGGGGGCAGGCAGGATTTGGACTGGATGGCAGATTCTACGAGGCGCATATTGGGATGCGCATATTGCTCCAGATACGAGACGATTTGTTCGGCTGTTATTCCTCCGCGCAACGCCTGACGCACTGAGTCCCGGGTAAGGACGCCCACAACGAGATTGGGAAAGCGGTAGAGCAGCTCTGTGAACAGGCCCAAAACGGCCACCTGGAGGGGGGAGTCTGTGTAAGCGTACACCCGGTAGTTCGTCTCCACGACGATATAGCCGCTCTCCTGAGCACCCTCCTCATCTGTCGTCAGAGTCGCTGTTATAGCCGCTTCCTTGCTGGTCACATTGAGAGCCAAGCGTGTGGGGTAGAAGCGCCCCTCCTTACGCTTCCGCTGGTAGACCAGACCGAACTCTCTCAGGTGCTGTAGAAAGTCTAGCATTTGTTTGTTCATGCCCTCAGAGCTATAGTCCCTTCCTAGCGTGGAGAAGCTGAGCTGGAACAGCATGGAGAGACACTCTGGCAGGGGCATCCCCCGCTCCTCGCACGTATCCAGATAGTGAAGCATGAAGTGCCACACTTGTGCCCTCGTGTCCAGCAGCAGGAACTGGAAACCTTGGCGAGTTATAGTGATTCCGTCCCGATCATCCCGCTTCATAAGATTCGCATGCAACAAGATCCGCACGGCATCTGGACTGATTGCCTCGGTTTCTGCCCCATTTCGGCTTCCAGTTCCCACCATATAATGGAGAACACATCTCCATCGGGACATGGCATAGGTATCCAAAAATACTATATCTCTGGGTTTGGAGTCCTTCTCCAGGGTGTTGGTCATGGGCCACGGTTTTCCTCCACCCAACAGGACCTGGCGAACGCTTTTCTTAAATGTGGGAGATAGTTCCCAGGCAGACAGTCCTCCTGGAATGGCAGTCACGCGCCACACATTCAGAGCTGTCAAGCAACTCGTGGCGTCCGTTTGTTCTCTAAGGATTAGGAAAGGTTATTACTACTTTCGTGGAGAAAACGAATAGGGATTCGTACTTTGCGCATATTTGAGCACCCCACGAGGTAACTACGGCTTGGGGAACTGGCTGGTCCACGAAAAGAATCCGTATAATAAACTGTCTGGCTATCTCGGGCAGCTCCCGGTACACGGCCAAGCAGATCGGCGGGTAGTTGTACAACTTTTCGAGCGTTTCTGGCGTGTGACGGGTTCGCAGATATTCCTGAAAGTCTTTGCACTCGAGGTTGGCCGGGCTCTGCGTCAGTGGCGAAATTCCACTGCTACTACTGCCTGCAGCAGCTGCATGCCGACCTGTTCTCGTATCGGCCATATCCCTCTCAAGCACGATCACGGAATGGATTGTAAACAATCATAGTGACAGTAAAAGCAGCGATAGGTGCCGGCTAGTGATGGCAAACAATGGTTGTCAGTGATGGGATAGCGGGATTTCTGTAAAATATCGAATGCCTATCGAAAAAAAGTAAAAATTAATAAATAAAATGGAACTTTAATTCGTAAAATTTGAATTTTTAATTGCAATCTACACAATAAAATGTCTTAATTTTTATTGTTGGAATATTTAAATAAGAGAAATTTTACGAATCTAACATGTAGACTATCGCTAGTCCAGTAGCCTCTCTCTAGCAAACACGAGAGCATCCCTTGCCCCGACAAACATTCAGCTGTTGGTCGCACACGTGCGCTTTAGAAATATTTACATTCGAGTTTTTTATTCAAGTTTTTAGCTAAAATGAGTGACGATGAAGAGACCTACGACTCGAGGGCCCATCAAAAGCTGCTGCAGGCTATCGGCAGTCTGGGCAGTGGGCAGCACATCCAGAAATCCACACGCGATGAGAGGCAGTCCCGCCAGGATGAGTTCCAGTTGGTCAAGAGCGTGCCTGTAACGCAAGCGGAACATGGACCACGATCGGTGGGCTTGAACGACTTAGTGCAAATCCTGCGCACCTCTTCGAAGCACAGCCAGACGGGGAAAAAGCTCAAAAACGTCCAGAGCACTCGGAAGGTGCTGCAGAAGCCTCTCGAGAAACCTCAAGCGGATCGCATCAAACGAACAATTGGATACGAGGGAGTGACCAAGAAACTGGGTCGCTGGGATGCTGTGGTGGCACAGCAACGCTCGGCGGAGACGCAGGTAAGGAAACTGGATAGTAGCTCCTACTGGAAATAATAACATTTTTGTGCTTAGATCTTCCCGCTTCCCTCGGAGACTATCTACGTAAACACAAAAGCTAATGTGCGCAGATTGCCCACAAGTATAAAGTCAAACCTGGCAATCGAGCTGCAGAATACCGATCTGAAGCTGCGGGAGCTACGTAAAGCACAAATTGGCGACACTACCGATGAGAAGGCTCTGGCAGAGCAGGAGAGCCAATTGCTCGCCAAAAAGCTCACCAAGGACGAACTCTTTGCCCGCCGCAAGGAACTGGCATACCTCAAAATGCGAGAGTCTCAGAAATCGGCCAAGGCACGGATGCAGAATAAGATCAAATCGAAGAAGTACCACAAGCTGCAGAAGCGCCAAAAGCTCATTGAGCAGATGAAGGAGTTCGAGCTGTTGCAGAAAACTAATCCCGAGGCGGCGCTGGAGAAACTGAATGCCTTGGAGAAGAGTAGAGTGCAAGAGCGTGCTAGCTTGCGGCACAAGAACACCGGCACCTGGGCCAAGAACCTCCAAGTACGCGCCAAGTACGACAAGGAGGTTCGCAAGGATCTGGCGGAGCAACTGGCCGTTAGCAGGGAGCTCACTCAGAAGAAGGAGGAATCCGACAGCGAAGAGGAAACCACAACCGCAGCAGCTGAGATCGAGGATGAGGATTACGATCCTTTCAATCCCTGGACCAAAGGGAAGACTTCACAAAACGGGGACAAGGCTAACGACGATAATGAGGATCCAAACTGGCGGAAATATTGGACGGAACGCAATGAGAACGAGAAACTGTTGGAACAGCATCGCAAGGACATGGACGAAGGTGAAGAAGAGTCCCAGGAATCTGAAGGGGATGATGAAAAAGAAGTCGTGCTTCCTGCAAAATCTACAAAGACCAAGAAAACTACCAAGAAGGCCAAAGTTCTGAAAAATGGATGGCAGGTGGAAAAGGTCAAACCGGAAAAGAAAAAAAAAGAAAAGGTCAGCGCCCAATCGAAATCCATTGAAGATATTTTTGACGAACAGAACGATGTCTTGAGGGCTAAGCTGAGCAGGAAGCTGGAGAAACTTAAGAACCAGGTGAATAAACTCGAAAAAGCTCCCGTCAAAGGGAAGAAGTCGAAGAAGAAGAAGGATGCCCTTAAAAACCTGGACGACCTGACGTTCAAAAACAAAAAGCAAGTGGTGGAGATTGATGAGCCTTTGAACTACGAAGCCCAAGAGGAGACACCCAAGAACGTACCCGAGGCTGAAGAATCGGAAGCTCCCAAATCCACAGACACCCCAGCTGTCGATACAATAGACCCCAACAAAGTCGCCACCATAGTGTGGACTCAAAAGAAAACAAAATCCAATGGCATTAATGACGTTCTGATAGACGACGAGGGTGCGGATTACGATGAGGATGATGCGGCAGCTGATCGCCAGCTAACAATTAGCCAGGCATTCGAGGACGACGACATTGTAGCCGATTTTAATAGAGACAAGTCCAAGGACTCTGAACTGAAGAACACGGAAATCCAGTTAGCCCTTCCAGGATGGGGTTCCTGGGCTGGAGCCGGCATATCGAAGGAAGTGATGGAACGCCGAAACAAGCGACTTTTGCTGAAACTGGCAGCCCCCGAAAAGCGTCGAGATGAGAACAAGGATAATCTCTATCTTAACGAAAATGGTAGCAAACAGGCGCGTGAGCACATGGTCTCCAGCGTCCCCTTTCCCTTCCGCTCCCTGGCCGATTACGAGGCCAGTATTCGGGCCCCGATCGGACGGACTTTTGTGCCGGAGACCGCTTTCCGGATGCTGACGCGACCGGCGATTATTACTCGCAAGGGCCAGGTCATTAATCCCATGGAGGAGAGCGAGCTAGTTAAGCCGGACAGACGTTTGCGCCATGTCGTGGACAGGAGAATAAAGCGGCTGCCGAAAGTACCTTCCAAATATAAAAAAGCTTAGAAATAAAATATAACTACGATCTGAGAATATACTGTTGTAAATGGATAAAATTAAGTACAATACCTTGATTATTTATTTTTTCTTATGAAATTGGGAGATTTTAGAGGAGGAGGACTTCCAACTTCAAGGATTATCTTCCGGTGTTTTAAAAACGAAACACATATTACGCCCAAAATGAATAAATCGATATCGACCTATCGATAGTTTTAATATTGCCCACCACTAACAGCACATTTTGCAATTTTCGTTGAATTATTGTTATTTCCACGACCCAGTCCAGGCCAGAAATGTATGAACTGAAGACGTTGCTGCCGCAATTTGAGATCAAGCTGCCCACCTGCATGTATGCGCTAAAGAATGTGAGTCTGGCGGCGGACGCCCTGGATTCATCGGCAGGCCCATCCACATCATCATGCGTAAGTTGATGGCCGGGGCCATAAATTGGTCAGGATCAAGTTTATGGATGGCTAACCATCGTATTTAACAACGCTGATCCATCCATTCCATTCCCGCATTTTGCCAGAGGGGTCAGCAAAGATCGGAGAACAGAAGGAGCAGAGGCAGCAACGCAAACGTAAATAACCCAGCCGCCACATGTGCACTTGATTTGGACTCTTTAGGTCGACAGATACAACAACTGCTAAAGGTTAAGACCACCTCCAACCACTACAGCTACTAAAAATTCGAAAATCTATTTATAAACCAACGACTAACCAAAAAAAAAAAAAAAAAACAAAACAAGAAAGATATAAATATGTATCCAAGATCCGTTTTGTGTTGCTTGCTCTGTTCTTGATGTCGCTGGCTGCAGGAAAACCACAATTTATTTGTGTTTTAATTTCAGGATGACACTGCGACGGTGACCGCCCGGCAGGAAAAGGTCCTGAAGCAGTTGGAGGACCTTAAAGTGCAGCTGGGACAGATCCGAGCCGGTCTCGGGGTGTGCGGCAAGACCTTCCAACACACAACGGCCTTCCAGAATGGTGGCTTAAAGGAGGTACCTTGTTTTTGTAAAATGATTTCACAAATTGTTTAACTTTGTGCCTATTTTATCCGTCAGATTCCTCTTCAGGACGTTGTCATCAATGGACACCCCAATTTTATACCATATGCCCTGCTGGCTCTCAAGAATGCCTGGCGGGATCTGTACACGATCGATGTAAAGACCTTCACACACTCCACGATGGCGGATATTGGGCCCGCCGCTCGGGAATTTGAAGCCAATTTGGCCAAGGTTCCAGTGAACCCGGCACTGCCCAAAATCAACGTAACACTCATCTGGAAGAACTGTAGGTACACGAGGGGATCTACCGAAAACTCTTTTGACACCCCGTTTGTCTTCTTCCAGGCGAGCACACCGAGATGATCAGTTCGCCGACCATGTACGTGCCCATCTATGGAGAAGTGAACATCATCAGGTACCTGGGTCGTGTCGGACCCGCCGAATACCGGTACGAGGGCTCTCCGCTGTGCAATGAGATCGACCTCGTCCTGGACATTTGCTACCAACTGCTCCGCTGCAACACCCACAAGACGCAAGTGGCTATGGTGCGATTGCTGGACAAGCGGCTGCAGAAGCAACAGTATTTCGGTGGCTCTCAGATGTCGGTGGCCGATATCGGAGTCTACAGCTCGCTGATACGCATGCCCACTATCACAGACAAGGACCTTACGCCGGCGCTGGTGGCCTGGAGGAAACGAGCCAAGCTTGTAGTTCAAATTTAAGTCGAAAAGTCGAACAAATAAAGAGAATATTAACGAACATGCTTTCGAGATAATTTAAATTAGTATTTAAAGGCCATTGATGTTTTTTTATAATTTTATTTGGCTTATTTATCTTTGTTGCAATTAGTTACTGTTTATACAATGCGATTCCTCATTTCTATATTGCATTTGCTGTTTGTTTTAAACTTACTCTGTCAATTTTGCACTTAAAAATGGCTTAATCGCTAGGTTCATATTTGCTTTTATACTTGAAATCCGTTGATTGTTCATAATGGGCATGAGTGGTTGTCCTGTAGTTGGCCCCGAAACTCGACGGCCTAAGTTATGACAATTGTTCTTTGTTCTCGCACATAAAAATGTATGTAGGTATGCATGTCACTTCATATACGTATATTTTTTTTAAATAATATTTTATACCTAATACATATGTGTGTATATCTTTTATATTGATAATCAGTTTCTGGTTGAGTTCCATACGCGAATTGTTTCATCCGGTATACCGATCGGGTGTCTCGGCTGTGTGGGATTAGCTGCACAAAAAGGAATCGGAGTTGTCCCTGAACTCTAATAATTGCATGCCATCGGCTGGAAATTGAGTGAGCCCGCTGATACCGTCATCAGCTTATAGGAATAATCTAATTAAGTGGACAAGAATCGTGGATCATGGTACAGGATCCATAGCATAAACTAGGCAAATAATGGTTTTCCCACTTGATTGGTTTAGTTTTGAAACGTTTATAATTAGCATTAATCATAATAATAATGTTGAAGAAATTAAAAGGCGGTGGCTCGCCGCCTAGGGCAGGAGTGGGAGGAAGAAGAAACTTGGCGACTGGCGGGGCTCGCGTGGATACATTATGTGGTCTCGCCCTTGCCACTGTCATCGGCGGACTCGGCATCGTCCGCTCCGGCAGCAGCCGCATCGTGGCCCAGTCCATTGTTGTTGCACTTGCTGTCACCGTTATTTTTGCTTATCGACGCAGTGGCACTGTCATCCTCGTCCTCCTCCTCGTCATCATCGTCCTCGAAGTCGTCGTCGTCTGTCGGCAGATCGTCCTCGGTCTCCAGGTCGAAGTCATCATCGTAAAAGTTGGCAGATTCTGTTGTGGGCTTGCGAGTGGGCTTGAGACAATAGTCTTCCAGGGTCGTCGGGACCACAATACCCTCGCGCTTGGCCTCTGCGTTGGCGGCCAAGGCCTGTTTGCGAATGATGTTGGGATACTCATTATCCTTACCCTGTAAGTAGTGGATCCTTATCAAAGAGCTAGGAGTTTCTAGGGCTAATGTCTGTATGGGCATTTACTTTCGAAAAACTTTAAAAATATTCATAATAATGGAAGGAAAACGAACTAAGCCCTTTCTACCAGACATTCACCCAAATCTTTGGATCATGACCAACCTGTGAGTCCCGCCATCTGCGATACATCACCGATGCATCCACATTGGCCGGCGAAAATGTGTTGGGTTCGTTGAGTAGCGAGATCACCGACAGCAGGATGGTGCGCACGTTCTGTGTGGGATTCCAGCGCTCGCAGGGCAGCTCACCACTCTGGGGGTCATCGACCGGCGGATGAAGAATAGATATGCACAGGTCGCCGTTCTCGTAGACGTTCGGATGCCAGACCTTTGTCAGGAAACGGATGGATGGCGGTGAGTACGGGTAGTCGTGCGGGAACTTCATATGTGCCTTGAAGTAGCCACCCTGATAGAGAGTATCCGGCGGCCCAAAGATGGCCACCTCCCACTCAAATAGGTTATCGTCATTGATCAGCTTGACGCGGAATCCCTCCACCGGCTCCTCCTGCAGTGACTTGTATTCCATGCCCAGGGCCCGGACAGCCGAGCTGCTGGGGGTGGTCATTGGGGCGGCAGAGGATGCGGAAGCAACGATGGATCCTGATCCCAGTCCCGATCCAGAGCCAGCCATCATCGTCGAGGACGCATGCTGCGATGTGGAGGCGGCGGTGGTCATCTGTTCGCCCGGTTGCAGTGTTCGCCGGTTTCTGTCGGTAAAATACATTTGGTAACGAAACATATCAATATTTTGCGATATTTAGCCACTGTGTGCGTGAAATGTATATGTATGCGTTTGTGTGCAGGGTCAATATCTTGCTTGCTGCTGCTGCTGCTACTGGTGACTTCAAGGTGAGCACGTCATACAAAAACCACAAAGCGATGACTGTTTCCCTGTCGCACTTGCTGGGAAAACAGCAAATTTTGTCCTAATAATTTGTCAAGTTCGACAGGAACTTGTATATTGGTCGTTTTGGAAGGAAAACTGTAATGCCCTTGTCATTCCTCTTGTCAAGGCAGACAAAAGGAAACTCAGTTCTAGCAGGCAAAATGTGTATAGAAGGGACTCTCAGCACTGTTTTTGAGTGGCAGGAACCTGGTACTGTGATACGTACTTGCGTAGCCAATAGTTTTTTCAATTTTTATGCGCTTTAAATGCCTTTTGTTATTGTTGTTTGACTTGCGACAATTTCACTTTACAAAACAAAATCCAGGGTGGCACTCTATGGACCAGGGCTGGCGCAACTATGAAGGTGGCCTTTGCGCAAGTCGTTTTTGTCAGGGAGGGACTAATGGAGAGTTAAGTCGTGATTGCGATTGTTTGGATTTAATTATAAATTAAACGGAACGTGTTTAAGGTATAAATTTAAAGTAAAATTACTTGTATAAAAGATTGGCTTAAAATATTTTCCCACTTTTTTACCACCCTACAATATGCGTTCTATTCGATAGTTTAGTTTTTGTGGTGGGATGTTTATTAGTGCCACACTGCTATTTAATTGGATTAACAAAACTAACTTTAAAATATAAAATAAGACTAACTTTAAATCAAGATTATAATTTAATCATGGTGATCTTTTCATTAAGTCATACTGAAGTATAGCAATCAATTTAAAATTCCCGCCAAATCAAACAAATATTGATAGTATCTTGAGTCTATTGCAAGATACTTTCAAAAAATAGAAATAACTTGATAGTTTTTAGTATTAGGTAGTAATAGTACTTAGTTATAATAGTAACATTAGATATAATTAACCGGGTATGAACCGGTACAAATAAAATCGAACTAGTTCCAGTTCGATAACATCATACAAGAAATAGTATTTTTATGGGATTTCTTAAAGATTTTGTTGGTATTTTCCTAGGGCCGGATGGATCGTTTAATCGTTATCGGTGTGCGGTCACGCTGTTGCCAGAAACGGATTAATACAACAAGATTAATACAAACTCGAATAGCACATAGCACAATTAACCTGGGACAAACCTACCGACAACCGTCAACAATAGCCGAACTCCGCGCTCCGCGTCGAATTACGGTCCGTGTTTACAGTGCAACGCGTTAATTCAGCGTCGAACCGAACCCAAGCTCAGAGGCGTTGGCCGAGAAAAAAAAAAGCAGAAAAAAGAGAAAAAAAAGGGGCAGCGAAAAAATGCATACAGGAGTGGCGAACGAATCGAAATCGAGTCTCTAATCAAAGCAGCCCAAATACAAATACAAATACGCAGCAGCTAAGCTGTCGTTTCGTAAAAAAGGGAAAATTGTGAGGGAAGTGAAGCAAAAAAAACGGAAAAAATCAAACAACGCCCAAGGAGCAAGAGTAGTGGCAAAAACAACAACAGCAACAAGAAGAAGAAGAGCCAGCAACGAAGCTGGGGTTTTTGTTGATTTAATTCAAGCAGACACTCCTTGTATTTCGCATTTTTGCAGCGAGAGAGTAAGCGAAGCCAACAGAACACGGAGAAAAAAAAAACACCATCCACAAGATCTTCGTGGGCCTGATACATATATATATTTTAAGAACTCTTAGGATATTTGGCCCATATTTGTTGCTATCAGGCCCATTGTAGATTCTGAAATATGTATTCTAAAATGGGAATTTCTCTCCGTGCAGCAACAACTATCATTCCAGCTAAGTGAACATGTTTTTGGCCAACATAAAACCATAAAATCTGTTGTGTGCCAGCACCAGCAGCCGCAGCAACAGCAGCGAGCACATTTTTCCCGTGGAAAAATCGCATACATACACAGCCACGCACGCACACGGACGCGAGGACGGGAGGAAAACTAACACACATACTCGTACAATCACACACATACACCTAGAAATACATATATACACACACACGTACGCACACTGTAGCAGAGCGCGAAAATCATGTCCAGCTGGGCCGAACGCGTTCACAGGCGTGCCGCCGATCTTGGCAACGTGGTAACCTCCTGCGGCCATCCCGCCACCGCCCCCGCCTACCCCTACCGCCTCGAGAAGGTGAAGTTTGGTGTGCCACTGGAGGAGGTGTGCAAGCACAACAACATTCCCGGACCGCTGCTCGTCCTAATCCTCAAACTGAACAAGGAGTCACCGAATCGCCAGAATGTATTCCGTGCTCCCGGCCATCAGGGCGCCATGAAGAAGCTCATCCATTTCCTGCAGTCCGGCCGACTGGTGAACGTCGACAACTACTCGGTCTTCACCATAGCCAGTGTGCTGAAGAAGTTCCTGCGCAAGATCCCCAATGGGATCTTTGGCCGCAGCGGCGAGATGGAGTTGTTTGCCATCAACGAGCTGCAGAACGAAGCCGAGCAGATGGAGCGATTGCACAGGTGAGTTATGGAAGTGGGGATATACTCTCTTAATATCATAAAATCAGGTCCCTATTCATAGAGTCATATCTCTAGTATATCCACTGGTTATCTCAACTTTAACTTCAACTTCTATTAATGCAACTCACTCTCTTAAGTTTATTTTAGTTTTTTTTTTGTAGTGTAGTGTAACTAGCTTGCGGTAAACTTGCTGAACCGGATCTGAAGATTGTAGATTCGGTTGCAGCCTCAAGAATCTTCAGGGGGAGTTAATTCACTGGAAAGCTGTTTCAGTTCTGTTTGTCAGATATTGTTGTTGTTGTTTGTTGTTGTTGCTTCGGCACTTGTTGACACATTTGTGGAGATTTTCACCAATTTTCACTTGAGCGTTAACCCTTAGTCTGCCCGCCCGCCTGCCTGCCCGCCAATTTGCATAATTTGTAAGACCTGGAGGAGGGGGTATGTTTGGTTTTATAATAAGTATTAATATTATGTAGGCATATCTTAGAATCTTAGATTCCAACTACTGTGTATTGTATAATTTATTCAGTTTTTCGCTGATTCACCTTGTTTGGGTCTTTGGGGGGCAGATACCTCAGAAAGGGTTAAGCTTGGATTATGGAGAGCTGCTTTTCGGCCAACTTGTTGTTGCCTTTGGCTGTTACACCAATCGATTTCTAACCAAACTGAATTAGAGCATAAAGCGTGGGCCAATACACTTGGCCAAAATGGAAAGGAAAATTTGTAAAAAAAAGAAGACTTGCAAATAATTAACAAATCGTATCGAAAAGTAAGAGCCAATCAATTGCAATTGACAGCCAGAAATGATTTGTTCTGTTTGGATCTGGTTGGTTGGTTAATTTCTTAAACATTTAGCCATTCTCTTGACTTGATTGAGATGGATGCTGTTGGCCTGGTACTGGCCCGGTACTGCGTCAGCAACATTGGGTTACATTAAATGGCTAAATGTGCGTGTAAACAAATAACGTCAGCAATAAAACATAAATTTAAAACTCTTCTACATGCGTAGAAATCGACCGCCAAATTATTTTCATTTCTCGGCTGGCTCTTCGGCGGGTGGAAAGCGTAAATTTTCAGTTTGGCAACCTGTGAGCTGGTTACAATCGAGGGCAGGTGAATAGGTCATACAGAACTAAGAAAAAAATTAGAATTTTAAAAGATAAATAAATATATTTTATGATTAAAAGAGAGATAATATTGATAAACCCTTGGTTCTGCGTTGGTCACACTATGTTAATAGCTGTTACTATTTTTACAGCCTCCACTGTTAGTGTGTGTAAACTTTTCAAACTTGTACAATTATATACACATTTACTGTAATTGTTGCTGCTGTTTCGCTGGCTCCTTTTGTTTATTTACTTTTTGGGGCAGGCGCACCAACAACAACAACAACAACACAAGGAGCTACAGTAGCAGTAGCAGTACAAAAACAACATTAAGCAATCACAATCGAATCAAACAAAATGCGAAACGCGAAAATAGCGCCTCAACCATAAGATACAACAACAATACACCTTTATAAATAGACACGCGTTGGAAACTTTGTATCAATTAAACGTAAAGAGAGGAAGGGAGAGAGAGAGAGAGAGAGAGCGCGAGCATGCGATAAGTGTAGACAGTGTGTGGGAGTGAGAGGTCGGGCGACCTGTTGTGGGTCGGTCTCCTCCTCACTCCTCCCTCCTCGCTCTCACAACCGGCCAGGCTCCCCTTCCCACCCATCAATTGGCACATCATTTGTGTGTGCTTCTTCGAGCTATCCAGCTGCTGTTTTTGTTATTTCTGTCTATTGCAGGCGGCGCATCGACGTCATTGTTGCACGTTTTTGCAATAGACCCCCAAAAATATACATATATGTATTATTTGTGTGTTTGTGTGTATTTTTGGGTTTGTTTTGTTATCTGTAAATTACAAACACGACAAGAAAACAAAAAAAAAAAAAAGAATCTATGAAATCAATTAAACCAGCTGCTCACCAAGAGAGAGAGAGTGGGAGTGGGAGTGAGAGCAGTGCTTTCTCTCTCCTGCTGTTCAAGAGTCCTGTTATTCGCAACTTGTTGCCTGGCGGAAGAAAGCTTTTCTCCAAGCTTTTTCCAGCCTGTTGCTTTTTCGATTACCGTTCATTTTTTGGACTTTGGGTTTTTGGGATGAATTCTTTTTTTTTTGGTTTCATAATATCTTGCAGATACATATGTATCTTAAATCACTTTTCCTTCCGCCTGATCAGCTGCCATGTTGCCAGCTGCTTCTGGCTCTCTCTCTCTCTCTGTCTTCTGCCCTTTCTCCATCTATTACCAATTACGCACACTCTCCGTCGCAGCCGGCCATAGTTAATAGGCTATTTACACAATTGCCTGCCGAATGGCAAGAAAACTGCTACGAATACTGATAAGTGCAGAGGAGAACCAGAGGGAGCGGGAGGTCTAGACAAATAAATGGCAATAACTGCAGCGAAAGGGAGGAGAAGGAGGAGACGGAGGAGGAGGAGGTGACTACAAAGCCGCATTGTCACAAATGGCTTTAAAACAGCAACAAAAAGTGGCAGGCAGACACTGTTCTTGTCCATAAGTCTGTAAGCCGTCATCCAATGTCTGGAAGGGATGACGGCCCACTGCGGCCTGAGGTCTGAGCTCTGAGGTCTACTTCCTGATTATTATTCGATTGTTATTCATAGGCCCTTTATTGTTTTATTTTTTTGTCGGTTTATCGGTCGGGGCTTAATCTTAAACAGAGTCTTTAAGTCTAAGTCCCTTTGTTTAAATTGTCTTTGTTAATGTACATAGTCTCTGACTAATAATAGAATAGTTACCCGATAGAATTCCATTGAAATCATTTAAAAATGCCACCGCAGAAGCAGGAGTTTTTATTTGACTGTTACTTTCAATAAATAAATATATATGTATATATAAACACCATTGCCAAACAAGCCAATAAATGTTAAATAAAGCGAGCGAACTGAAATGTACTTGTAAACAATGTATGGAAATGTGCGTCAGTGGAGGAGGTGGAGGAGGAGGTGGCTCTTTTATGCGATTCTTCCAGGGTTCTTTTGGGTTCTGCGATGAACTTTCATTCCGAATGAACTCCAGATGCAGTTCTTTGCCATAAAACCATATGGCGGATAAACACTGACCAACAGGGAAGCTCCTTGAACTCCTTTTTTAAGAAAATATAAAAATCTCTGAAATATAATGATTTAAATATGTGATACCTGGTACTCTGATCACTTTAGGGAGGTATTTAAGAAAAGAAATAGGTTTAAAATTTGAATTATATTGAAATATTGATAAAAACAGACCAACAGGGAAGCTCCTTGAACTCCTTTTATAAGAAAATATAAAAATTTCTGAAATATAATGATTTAAATATGTGATACCTGGTACTCTGATCACTTTAGGGAGGTATTTAAGAAAAGAAATAGGTTTAAAATTTGAAATATAATGAAATATTGAAAACCCCGACCAACTGGGAAGCTCCTTGAGCTCCTTTTTTAAGAAAATATAAAATAAAATATATTTTTATCTGAAATATAGCATTATAACTATATAATAACCGGTACTATTATGACTTTAGTCATGTTTTAAGGTTTTAAATTTGAAATATAATGAAATACTGATAAAAAAAATCCATTTTTATCTAAAATATAGCAATATAACTATATAATACCTGGTACTCTGATGACTTTAGTCATGTTTTAAGGTTTTAAATTTGAAATATAATGAAATACTGATCAAAAAAATCCATTTTTATCTAAAATATAGCAATATAACTATATAATACCTGGTACTCTGATCACTTTTGGTATGTTTTAACAAAAAGATAGCTTTCAAATATGAAATATTGTCTCAAAAGTATAAGAAAACAAGAGGATTTATTTCTTTAATGTTTGATATCTACAAGTCTGAGTTTATTTTCATAGAATTTATTGAAAAATAAACAGCACTCTCCCTGACATTCGTGATTGATCGCCACCACGATCGAAATAAAACAAAACAATCAGTTGGGGAGTGTAATCCAGGGGTCATAGTCGTCATCGCATATCGTGATGTTTGCACTTAGTATATGTATGTTGAAAACTGAGTGTGTTTTTTTTTATTATCCGACTGGCGAGTATTGCTTTTTCTTGGTTTCTGGTTGGTTCATTATTGTGACGTATTGTCTTTTTTATATTCTGCCGACAACCTCCATAAAAACATGCCAACTTGCGGTTGGCTTTTTGCATCTGTCTGTGGTCTTTGGAGATCTAAGTAGTACTTTTTTTGCAGTGCACTCCCATCATCATATAAGTAAGATTGAGCCAGACATCTGATGATTAGTAAGCCTCAATATCAGCCTCAAAACATCCTTTGTTCCGGTAGAATGTAATGTGGATCAATCAGCACTTATTTGTTTATGAACTAATCTATTGAATTAAACCACAATATTATTCATTGGAGAAATTGTTATAACAGCCATTCACACTGGAGGTCTGACTCTCCTCCTACCTCCTACCTCCTACCCATTGAATAATCCAGATAAGCTCCTCCATGAGCTTCATGAGTAATTTAAATTCCGTAGACTATTATACATACATGGTGGGTATGGTTCTTCATGAAACTTTCAATGTAGGTCTCTTGTAAGGAAACTCAATTATCTCTCGTGTATGATATTTCACTTATCGCTTTAACAGCAGACCCCGAACCCGGGGCTATAGACGACGGCATAATTCAATCACTTGACAAAGACTCGATTCTCCTCTCGAAAAAGTGTCACAAAAAAAAAAAAAGATGGTGGGAATATCTGAAAAACTGGTTCCTCTGTAGGGCAGACAGAGCTCGGAAGAGCATCATACGTAATGAATCGTATATATATGTATATATATTTTTGTGATAAAAAAAACTGTTACAGAAGCAAATCTTAAATGCGGCAAAAAAACAAACAAAACGAGTAACAGATACAAGATACAAGATACTTTACTGAACAGAAATTGTCCGACATTTTTCATTTTTATGAATGAACTCGGTACGGGCCGCCGAGTCTTAACAATAACTTAGATGATTCATCCAAATAAAATCTGTCAATGGGCACTACGCAGAAGCTACGCATCGCCAATATTAAAATCCAAGTCTAGGAAACTACTATTTAGCAGCGATTCGTGGAAATAAAGCTGTTGCCGGTTTTATGGCCATTGTCTGTGCTTGTATCTCTCCTATTTGGCCTATTGATTATGCAAATGAGTCGAATACAATCGGTCTGTGATACGACGCATGCGCAACTCTGATTATATAAGGCTGTAGGGGTATGCGCGATGGGCCCTAATGGATCCTCGATTCGGAGCGGGCGTCAATCAATCACTGGAAAGGTAAAAAAAAAAAGCCAGAAAACAATGCTTCACAATTACTCACCCCATGGAGGGGTTTTTTATTCGAGATTCGGGTTCGGAACTTGGGCCTGATACTGCTTATCTCTCCAATATCAACAGACGTAAACACTTGTTCCGCTTTCGGTTGCTATTGTTGTTGTTTTCTGTGGTTTCTGTGGTTGTTTTTTTTTCGAAATCGGAATATATTTCCTTTAAGGAGCATTCCACGTAATTAATGCAATTAATAAACGATTTGTAGAATCATAAAAAAAACATAATAATTGTAACTGATAAGTGTTATCACTGCTCGAGGCAGGGAGGAGTGCTCGAGGTGATCATTGGCTTTCGCACTATCACAGCCTGACCTCCGCGGAGTTTAAATACTTCCAATGAAGAAGCCGCAACATGTGTAATTGGGAATCGGATCGATAAGATAGGAAGAGAGTCTTCTAATGTTGGTTTGTAGATCTTTATAGTGTTTGTTTTGGGCTTGGGTTTGGGTCTTAGACCTCTTGGGAGCCTCCATAAGGTGGCAAGTCGGCAGAAACCTTGACCATTGATAACCCTAGAGAGGTCTATGCTCTAAAGTCTATTTCTGATAAGGAATATTTATGGGAAACATTATGATTTGTTGGTCATAAATAATATAATATCAATAATAAAAGATAAAAATATTTAAACAACATTTCTTCTAGAGACCTCTAGAGACCTCCAACCCATAGGTGGATTTCTCCTCTAGCGACAGTTCATGCGGGTTCCATCATCGTGAAATTTCTAAAACCATTAGCTTCAACATATAGCTAGAGATCCAATACAGAGATGTTCTCTTTTTTTAAATCCAACACTTATAGGGGACTAGTCTGTGGGTCTTTCTTCGCTGGCAGTTCACACCACATCTGGAAATAGAGCCCCAGACTCTACAGTTCATTGTCAAGTCGCAAGTCTCCTCGGATCTTGGAGTTTTCACTTTTTAAGCTTCGAGCTGCGAAGAGTGTTGTGTGCGGCTTTTAAAGCATTAATTGATTGAGTTTTTTGTTGGTACCTCTATCAAGTTGTGTAATGTGGACGCTTTGGACGGAGGTTGCCAACCAGTTTTTCTTCTTCCTCCGGACCAGAGCCAACTCCAGCTGCAGCTGCAGAGCTCTCTACACCCCGACTCTCGGCGGCATTTGTTTCGAAAAATCATTAGGCACGCCAAAATGAAAGTGTGAAGAGTGTGCGGTGAGCTTACTTTCTTTGCCGGCCAGGCCAGGCAGTGGTGGTGATGAGTAGAGCAGCCAGGCCACCACTACCATGAGTCAGTGCTCTTCTGTAATGGCTACTATGAGTAACCCTACATCATAGATGGATGATAACAGATCTGGAAAAATATTTATCAAATAATCTCTTATTCTCTCGCAGACTCTTCGCTTCACTGCCCAAGTACACACAGCATCTGTTGGTTCTACTGTTTGGAACATTCCGGGTCATAGCCAGCAATGCGGCCCACGCCTCCACCGGAATGACCAGCGAGGCCCTGGGTGTCTCGGTGGCGCCCAGTTTCTTTCAATCCTGCGTCAGCGATGGGAAGACGGCGCGTATGGAGGATGTGCTCAAGTTCAAGGTGGGTGTCCACTCCTTATCCACTCCTGAAACCCAACTTAATGGTCTCCTCTCCCATTAGGTTGCCACCAAGATCATGCAGAATATAATCGACAAGTTCGCCACCCACGACATCTTCGGGCGGGAGAACTACCAGTACTATGCCCGCGTCACTGGACGCATCCTGAAGGTGCAGGACGAGTGGATATGCAGCTTCCAGTATCCACCGCCGCCACGTGGCAAGCTGGCCCAACAGAAGTATGCCTGTAAGTACCTTCCCTCAAGCAGTGTGAGTCAGGTTCCCTGACTAATGAGCTCTTATCTCTCTTATCCGAATAGTGCAACATTCTTTGGAGGCGGAGAAGACCTGGCTGCAGTGCCAATGCGAGCGTTGGGGCTTACGTGAGTACCGCAAGAATGCCTTCCCACTCTCCGTAGATATAGCTATAGATCTAAACTCTATTTGTGCTTTGCTTCTGGAAACCACCAACCACCCACCAACCAACCACCACCTCTCTCGCCACCACTCCGCACTGTCCGATCTAACTTCTGTCTGTGTGTCTGTGGGTGTGGGGGAATGCGAAAAATGTATCTGACTACCGATAAGCTTGGACCATCATCTTTGGCCATTTGGTGTCCCAGAAAGATAAGCCCTAACCCCCCCATCCGCGACTCTCCATCTATCAGCTTCTCGCCGCATGCCCTAGTCATAGTCATAGTTCTAGTTATAGTTATAGTCCTAGCTATAGACCCCTCTCATTCCGACGAGTCATCCAATGCATTTGTTAACCAACCCCCATGCTGACCATTTAGTGGCCCAGGAGGAGTCCCGCTCGACGCCCGCCCTGCTGACCAGCTCCAGCTCGGCGCTGGAGAACAGTGTGCTGTCGCTGGGCGTGTCCCCGGAGCACTCCTTCATCGAGAGCTGTGCCCGGCTGTCGGTCTCGCTGGAGGGTCCCGGCATCTTCGCCATGACCTCGTCCCCGCTGCCGGCCAAGCGAAACGGAAACGGCAATGGCAACGGCAACGCCACAGACTACGATTACGACGACTATGCCGACGACGACGAGGACAACGATGAGCTGGACGGCGTCCACGACTTTGGCCCCGAGCTGGAGATCAGCAGCATAGCTCCGCCGCAGGGCAGCCGCGGCATCTACCGCCACAAGCAGCGCCTCCAGCAGCCGAACCCCTACCAGCAGCACCACCAGCCGGCCCAGCAGCCGGACTACGAGGACGACGACGACGACGATGAGGACGAGCTGACGGTGGTGAAGCGTCGCTACCGCCAGAACAAGAAGAAACAGCTGCCCACCAGCGGGAGCCACCACCAGAGGCGACTGCGCGCCGGCACCAAGAGCCTGGACGGCGGCGGCGAGCGACGCCCCGCCGGCTCGGGAGCTGCGGCCGGACCGGGAGACGGCGCTGGCGGGAATCCCACGCCACCCAAGCTCAAGCAGCGCACCTGCAGTCGCTGCAACCGGGGCATACGGCACAGCAGCTCGTGCAGCTCGAATTCCGCCGGAGCCACCGGCTCGAACTGCGCCGGAGGAGGAGGACCCGGAGCCGGGAACGGCGGGGGAGCCGAGGGCGGCATGACCATGGAGGAGCTGAGGGCCGTCAACCGCTATGCGGAGAGCACCAAGAGCCTCTCGTATCTGCCACAGGTGAGGGACGAGTTCCTGCTGGGCTCGCGCATCTCCGTTTGAGGGATTGCGGCTGTGTTGTGTGTAGACCCGAGCCCAGGGTCCCACATCCCGGATCCTGGGACTCTCTAACCCCACTTTTGAAAAATGCTCGAATTCTCCCAACTCTGGTGTTCTTTTTTGCAGGAAAGAAAAGAAGATCAAGATTCAAGAATATCCTAGTTTTAAGTTTATGATTTCCACCTTTTCTTCTGTTGCGAATTTTTGATTTCTTTGTAATTGAATTTTATGTAATTTTGTTTTTTTATTTTTGGAAAATGTTTCAAACGCTCTTCTCTAATATTATCCTTTTCTTAATATCCTGTTTCACTCACTATCCTGTTCTCTTAGCAAATTGTTGAAAACCTGTTTCGTTTCGTTTTTTGGAAATGTTTGCTTAGTTTTCTGTATGATTTTCATAAAAATCTAACCAACAATTTTGCGCCTGCTAAGCTAAATAATAAAACTATAACTAATATATACTTACACAACAACAACAAACATAAACAACAACACAAGAAATTCAAGATTTACCCCCCAACACCCCCGAAACAGTACAAAAAGTACCAGGAATCGGAATCTCAACTAAAAAACAAAACTCTGTAAAAAATTAAACTAAAAACGGAGCAGAATCGAATTGTATCTTTTTATTTTTCCATTATTATAATTTATTAAAACTTAAACTAAAAAAAAAAACAAAAACAAAACAAAGAATGTTTAAAAATCATTTTCATAAAATACACTTAATAAATACATGCCCAAAGATATATTTTCAAAAAAAAAAAAAATAAAAAAAAATCTTCTGAAAATTGTTTAAAAAAAGATCGTATTTTTAGAAAAGTTTGGGGAGTAGATATATATTTTTTTTAAAGAGAGATATTGTAAATATGGGGTTTTAAGATGGGTTTTAAGAAAGAAGGACCTTGGAGCAGAGTTCCCAAGCTAACATCCCTATCGGATTCGGTTCAAGTATGGCAGAAGTATTTATTTTCCACACGATCCTCCCACACTGTCTTCAAAAATTTAGCTATTTCTAGACACGGCACTCATTGTATCACAATTATTGTTTTGTTTTAAAATCTGAGATTAAGACTAAGACTAAACCCACTCAAACACACTGTACTATAAGCTAGAGATATGATTTGTATTTGATTTTGTTGTAATCGTTATAAACATACTTTTAGAGACATAAGACACCCCTTAAATGATATTGTTATCTATCACTATTTTAATTTAAATCACTGTTTAATGTTTGTATATAAATTCCTAGTCTATGTAGCTTTGAAGCCTGCTTTTGTTTTGCCTTCTATATCAAGTATTTTAATTGTTTGCTGCACCCAGTACCCAGTTACCCAGTAGTTAAAAAATATATATAACATATAGTCTATAAGGAAGAAGGATCATGCAATCATACTATAAAACACGAGTCAAGAACCCAAAATTGCATTTGTAATTAATATTTTCCATATTCGGAATTATGCTTGAATGTTGTGTCCACTTTTTTTTAATATAATTGTGCTTTAAACTTAAGGGGTAATTATGATTTAAAATTTAAATCATGAATGCCTCTGTTTTTTCCACCATTTTTGTATTTAATCTTTCACTTTTTTTCACACTGCGCTGATACTGCTGCTGCTGCATTTTGTTATTTTCACTAAAAAATAATGCAATTGTTAACTTTTTTTTATTATTTATTGTGTAATATTTTATTTTTTGAATATCTTCAAGTTTTGTTTTGCCTTTTAAAATATTTAATTATATTTTGAATTTAAGTGAAACAAGCAACAGAAATTATACAAGTTAGTTAATACCGAAAATTCAATTGCCAATAAACTCTAATGCGATAATTTTGAATCCCCCCCTCCTCGTCTACCCAACAACAACAACAACTACAACCACACGACAACAACAACTACAACAACATGAAAACAATAATTATAAAAAAAAAATGAACAAAAATCCACCTGCTGGGATTGGGAATAAAGGTCCATGAACGCCAAACCGCACGCATGCGCACCCGCTCCGAGTGGTTTCTGGGTCCTCGGGACGCTGTCGTGACGCTGCAGTTGCCGGCGGACACGTGCAGCAACTGCTGCCTGGCCGCCGCCGCCGGCTACCTTGGAGGCGGCAGCACCCGCGACATGCGCCAGGCCCAGTCGGAGGGCGAGCGTAGCCAGGCGGCGCTGCTGTATCACTTCTATCGCAGGCAACAGCAGCAGCAGGAGCAGGACCAGGAGCAGCAGCAGCAACAACATCCTCCGTTCGAGGACATGATGGACACGGAGGATAGCTACGGACAGCAGCAGAGGGAGCAACAGCAGCAACAGCAACAGATACATTCCAAGGGCCTATTGCGGCCACCGCCCATGCAACATCAGCAGCACCAGCAGAACCAGAACCAGCAGCAGCAACGTCGCCTGCTGCTGGACGTCAATTCGGGTAACAGCCATAGCCACAGCAACTGCAACAATCACAACCACAACAGCAACACTAACATCAGCAACATCGGTGACGATCTACTAGCCTGGCAGCTCGGCAACCACTCATGCTACTACTCCACACAATGCTTGTCCAGCTACATGCCACCTGCAACTGCAACTGCCAATGTTGCTGCTGCTGCTGGTGCTTCGGTTGTGGATCGGTTGCAGCTGGTGGAGGTGGCCTCGGACAGTGATGGCGACTCCTTGGACGGCGGCCGGCTGCTCCACACCCTGCAGGCCCACGAGCTGCAGCAGCATGTGGAGCCCGGCATGTTGCTGTTGCGGCACTCGACACCGATGCCAGTGCTGCAGCAGCGACATCGGCTGGCCAGCAATGCCTCCTCGCTGTACCAGTCGTTCGAGGTGACCTCCACCCAGCGCCACCTCAGCAGCATTCACTTCAACAACAATGACAGTGCCGGCAGCAGCAGCAACAACACAAACGGCAACAGCAACAGCAACAACAACCATAACAACAATAATAATCTTGCAACAGTCATTTTCAATGTATTGGACTTTTTGTTTTGATAAAGACTTTAAAGATCAGGCCGAGAAGATCCAACAACTTGTGTTTTGTAGCCAAGAATTGCATTAAAATCATGAATCTTGCTTATGTCCCACTAATAGCTAAACATGCAACATGCAACATTGTTCTGTTCGAAGGAGTTCTGTGTCTAAAAATGCCCAAAAAGGGAGATCTTTGTTTAATCTGTGCATGATAGGCGGTTAAGTTATGTGCAACCTTATCGTTTTTATTTAATTATACAGTATATTTTACATAGTTTGTATTTATTTTTTATTTAGCCATCGATTACCACAACTATTTATTATTAATTTTAATCGTGCGTATGTGTACTTTGCTCTCAATTACCCTAATTATTTTTGATATTTTGCCAATTATTATTTTATTATTATTATTATTATTTTATTTTGTCAATAAATTTGATTATTTATTTATACTGTGTATAACAAATGGAAAATGTTGAAAGCTTTTTGTATTGTTTCTTGTATTGTTTTACTCTGTGTGTGTGTTGTTGTTTAATTTTGTACCCACTAACCCAACAATGTCTCTCAATGTGTCCACACTACATACAACATTCACACATTACTATTATTATTGTTGTGCCTTTGTCTCCGAGTTCAGCAGCCACAGCCAACTAAAACTAACAACAAAGACCAGTACAACTACAATTGTAAGCCATATAACAACCATACAACAAACAAACGCAACAATCACCCCAAACAACGACCAACTAACTCGCTAACCACCGCCCACGAATATCAAAAATAACTCATCATGCCTATATATTGTTTCTCCTCTTTTTTTTTTTCTTTGGCCCCCGATTTTGAACCGCCCGTCCGTCCAGTTGGCAACATCCGTTTGAGTAACAGCGCCGAGTCCATTCAGTATGCAGCCCGACGACCCCACGCCAGCAACATCGCCAGCCTCCAGATCAATCCGACGCTCGGCGGCGCCACCAATACCCACAATCCCACCACCCGGCGCCTGCTCATCAATGTGCCGCGCCAGTACCGCTCCTCGCTGCGTCGCAACAAGGAGAAGCAGATCGGCGGCAATAGTCAGAGCAACAGTAGCAATAGCCTGGGCAGTGACCAGCTGACCGGCAATCCTGGAGCAGCGACTGCCGATGGCTACCAGGCGATAAACAAGCCCCTTCTGATGGTGGGCCTGCTCCCGGGCGCGGAACAGCCGCCGTCGGTGAGGAACTCCATTGCCGAGTGCGGGATGAGCACCATCGATGCCAGCGAGCAGATGGACGTGGGCGTGGAGTGCAGCACCACGCTGAGCTTCAAGCCGCCGAGGCTGTAACAGGGTGGGGAGGATGCAAAGACCACCCAAGGACACTGAGGACACTAACCAACCAATCAACCATTGCTTTTACCACGATAAGATCTAACCATTTTTTTAAATGTAACCCAAGCGAGCAAATTTTTTAAAATACTTTATAATTCGAAAAAGAGAACACAACTGCAGGGGATTCTTCGCAAAATAGTTGGAGATTTAAAAGAAAGATCACTCTATAAAGAAATGTCTTAAATCTCCAATGATTTGCGAGAACCCTTGCGAGGTAAATACATCATCTATCATCTATATTAGACTACTGCTAATGATATATGTATTTAATGTGTATAGCAAGAAAAGGCTGATTTTCTTTAGTTAAAAAAAAATAACAAAAATAACTAAAATTGAAAAAGAAAACTAAACTATGTAATGCAACAAATTGCCAAATTTTATTCAGCATTCAGTTATGTCGTTTAAGTTGATTTTAATGTATGTGTTATAGCCAAGAATCTCTCAAACTTGAACATTGTCAAGGTAGATTGTAAACGAAACTTGAACCTGATCGCAACAAACGAAACAACGACACAAAAACATAGAAGAATGCATTCAATTCTCAAAGATTCAGAACAATCATGAACCGATTTCGACCCTACAGGACCCTACTACTATGGATATACGGAGGAAGCTCCAAATGCAATCATAAAATCAAGAGAAAATCTATTAAAGAAACTATTAAGGATTTACATTCATTTTTTTTTTTTTTTAATTTGAGATACAGACAAGTACAAAAGCAAAACTAAACAGAAACCAATCGAAAAAATATCTAACAAAATATATTATATATTCTACATTATTCTTACAAAGATATAAACTACAAATTTAGCATTTAATACTAGTTAAGCGTTTTCAAATTATACTTGTAACTACGAACGGAAATCAATTTGTAATACTGTGTGTGTGTGTCCAAGATATATGTACATTGTATATTTCTACACGATCTGCTAACACAGCTCTACTTTCGGGGAGCTAGAACTAACAAAAAAATCAATACCTATATCAACCAGAGTCGATACAATTCCATTTTATATAACAACTGACTTAGCCAATCCTGTTCGAATAGTTTTAGACAATTCCAAATCCAAGAAGTATGAGATCTCTATAGATCGATTTCCACTGCCCTGCACCCAACAAAAAAATATATAAATAAATAAATAAATAGTTCTTTTTCCCCCGAAAACCTCATCAAACTTGCAGATCTTTTCAGCAAATTTCGAAAAAATCCTGGCAAAGTTCGAAAGCAAAAAAAGTTGTGTGTGTTTTGTTAAATCAAATTTACATCATTAATCTAACTGTTAGTTAAATAAATAAATCGAAAGTTGAGAATCAATTCTTTGGCCATTTCGTACCTAGTACGAAACGAATCCATTATTATACACCTACTATATAGTATATTAAAGATAAGTAGCGTATAAATATTAAGAGATCTGAATGTTGCCCAGAACGAAACGATGAAAAAAAAAATCCAAGAAACACCAATTTGTTGAGAAAAAACAAAATACTTTATTATATCGACATAATTTTTATTGCTGTGTATGGTAGGCTATAAGCTATAAAATATATATATATATATATATAGATTATATATATGTATAAATCTTAAATTACGAGTTCGAGTGAAGTACATTCATTAGCCCCTAAAAAAAACTATTACATAAATATACATATATATATTGTAAATGATGACGGAAGGGTTATATAGTATAGGTGTACGCTACATATAGTGAGCAGGATTTGTTCCACACAATTTAAATTTGCATTAAAAGTGCAAAATGCATTTCGAATACATTTTTTCAAATATATTATAATCAGATTCTTAGCTCTTTTGATTTTTTCTTCGCCTTTGGACGACGAGGCATCCGAAGCGATGCTGCACTTCCACTCCAACTTCTGTATGCAAAACCGACAAAAAATCATACATACAATGTAACTAATTACTGAATGGAAAATATAAATATTTCAATTGAAGAATTCACTTTGGCGGGCCCGGTTTAAGTGTTTCTCTTAATCGCTAAACTTACGAACACATTTTTGGTCAGAATTGTGCATTCGCTTAAGCTCTGATTTCGACTGACAAGTAATCATTATTTTACAACAAAAATCCATTTTTATTTGTGACAATACTAAGACCTCAACTAATATCAGATTTTTACAAAATCTAGTTTACCTGATTACCTGTCAGATCGGGAATTAGGACTTAAGTGCGCCTAATTGTATAGAGCCCTATCTACGATAATGCCGTGCTCGATGAGGAAACTCTCGACATCGGAGGCGAAAAAGTCGTCACTCAGATCATCGGTCAGTCGCACAAAGTTGCCGATGACCGCCTGTGCCTTGTAGACCAACAATGCGGGCAGACCCTTGGTGCGAAAGTCCCGGCTCATCCCGGCCACGGAGCTACATATTTTGGCAAACTTGATGGACGGATAGTCGCTGGCCAGGCTGTCCAGGCAGTTGTTGAGCGTAGTGCAGGCAGACAGATTTCGTTCGTAGATGTGGATTATTACGGTGGTGTGCTTGTTCTCCTGTTCGACGCAAGCGAGGAACTCCTCGTTGGTGGTCAGCTGCTGAACCTTACCGAACTGCTGGTTGTGACCCGTCTGGCGCAGCATCTCGGCCATGCGCTGCTTCTGGTACTGCTGCAGGAAGTCCTCACTCATCAGTTCGTCCATTTCGGCGTCCAGTTCCTCCTGCCGCTTGCGCTCCTCATCCTCGGCAGCTGTGCTCGTCGTCATGCTGAGTTTCTTGGCCAGGGCCAGTCTCTGGCGCTCCGTCTCATCGCGTCTCTCCGCCTCCAGCTGCTTGAATCGCTGCCAATCCTTCACGACGCCCTTCGGCCCCGTGTTGGTGGAGCCCCTCTGCTTGAATCCCCCAGCCGGAGTAGCATTTGGATCCGTATTGATTGTGAGACCGGAGGAGCCTGATTTGGAAGCTCCTTTCTCGTCGTCGCCATCGTCCCCGTTGTCCTCGCCCTCGCTGCTGCTGCAGTAGTACTCCAGTTTCTCGCCCAGTAGTTTATCCTCCAAGGTGGCCATGGTTTTTAATTGGCGAGTTTTACGATTTCTTTACAATTTTAACTTAATTAGTGTAGGGGTGGAGAAAATGTCGATTAATTAGACTAAGCAATCGATATTTAACAGTTCCGGGGCGAACCAGTTCCGATAACAATTCGAAATATTGCTAGGATATCGAATATATACTACTAACGGTTTTTTATTTGAAAAACACATAAAAATTTAATTTTTTAAACATCCATTGATATTTTTAAAAATGTATATATGCCACAAAATATATATCTTATTTTTGAGTCTTTTCGTAAATAAAATAAAAAAAAAAAAATCATTTATATATGAAGTATAATTTTGTTTCCATTTTTATTTAATTAAATAAAAGTTCCAAAAGTTTTGAGTAAAAAATACTTTTTCTAAGTACAATTTAATACCTCACTTTATGAGTTTTTCGAATTATATCAAAAATTAGTTTCAGTTTTTCAGGAACTTCAAAGTCTGACATAATCTGTTCCATGCTATTAAAGTCCGCCTTCTCCAGCTCATCGCAGGAGTCTTCCGATCCGGATTCATCGGCCAGTGCCAGTCTCTCAGCAAAGGAAACAATTCCACACCAGGCGCGGAAATCCAAATCCCCTGATCCATGCGGATCGTATCCCAAGACACTAAGAGTGCCTTGGACATTCTTTTCAGTGCCATGGAATTCGAGGACATCCTCCAGAGCTTGGGGCAGACTTTGCCAAACAAGAGTGCGTTCCTTGTATCTATATTCAGGCAGTTCATCATTTCCGAGAACACCGAGCTCACTTTCGGGCTCCTCAACTTTACTGAGATATTTCAGAAAGACCCGCTTGTAGAGCTGCTTCCTTTGTTGGGAAACCCAGACGTATTTGCTCAGATAATCCCAAGGAGTCATATCTATAAAAAAAAGAGTCAATTATATATAAAGGAATTATGTTAATTTCGGAGTTACTCACTTTTCATCATAGATAGATCCATTGGAACATCAAATCTTGTGGCAGATTTGGAAAACTTTCGGGGCATTTTGGATTGTTTTTCTGGGGGAACCTTTTCCTCGTTGGTTTTTATTACAGTTTTCGGTTTTGGAGGCATATACTTAATGGCTTCTTTAAGAGCCCGATTTAGCTAAGAATTTGGGATATAATAAACCCTGGACTTTATATAAACTCTACTTACATATCTGCCAAAGGTATTCTCTATAAGATCGACGTCCAGATCGGTTTTCAAAGCCTGAAATGCCTCATCGGTAAGGAAACTTCCTTTTAAGAGGATGGGTTCTCGTTCACTATCGCGCTTATCCTTGGGCAGCAAGGTGAGGGAGTTGGGAATCAGGCTGGGTCTGGTGCTGGGATTAAGGGAATCGGGTCCCAGAGCAGCCACCTGAGTCTCAGGGTCCTCACTCAGATGGAATGTGGTTGTGGCTATATTTTATGCTTAAATAAAATATTTAAAACCAAAAGTAAGTCATTTAAAATCCCACCTTGCGTTGGCTTTAACTTCTTTCTCTTTTTTCCTCTTCGCACATCCTCATCACTCAGTTCGTGTTCGTTGATGCAGGTTTTCGGCTTGGGTTCCATCTCATTTCCAGCATCTCCTCCGGGAGCTAGACTAGCCGTTGCTAGGGAGGACTTCGGTCGCTGCTCATTGGACGGCTGTCGCTTTGGCTTCTTGTCCTCGTTGGCCCCAGCACTTTTGGGCTTCTTATCCTCCTCTAATCCGCTTTGAGTCAAGTCCGAGCTGGGCTTCCAGTACACGGTCTCCTGGGAATGGGATCTCCTCAGATCCAAAATGATTTTTTTCCTCTTAATGTTCTCATGTTTCCCCCACTCCGGAGTGATGCATCGCCGATAAAAGGATCCGGCACTGGTCCTCGTATGGATACTGGTGACCGTGGGAGTGGGTGTCATGGGGCGAGAATCGGTTTCTGCATATCGCCGGAACAGATCCTCCGGAATGTTATCCGCCTCATGAGGCTGCAGTTGTTCCTCCTCGGGCACCTTTTCCGGCTTAGGATTCTTTCCCTCGATGGCCAGCGATGTCTTCAGCTGATTAATCACATCTTTGACCCCCGAAGGAGCCGGATGATTACAAAGTACGGAGCATCCTTTTGCAAATGGATTGAAGAGTCCGCCGAAAGGACGCAGGGAAAGCGGCATGGGAGTGGCCTCAAACTTGAGTGGCATTCGCGATACATCTCCATGTAGGTTTTTGCGCTGGGATTCGTTTTAGGATTATTTAATTTTAACAAATATATATTATAAAGAGATTGTAATATTTTTTACCTTTTTGAGATACTTGACATGCCTTTTCGGCGTAGGTATTAGACCAGTACGTGTTGTCGCACTCATCGCTTTCAAATAAATACAATTTGGTTTCCAGTTTCTCAATAGAATTGGTTTCTGTAAACAAAGTCCTCAGGTTGCCATGGCTAGTAGGGATAGACGCCGACAGAGTTTATTTACCTTTTATTGATTTCAAAAGCCATTTATAACTTATAATTCTATACTATTTATAACGAGGTCTTCAAAAGTTTTTACTGTTAGAGAGTCCATTTTATGGATTCTATTTTTAGCAAAATAATACGAATAATTAGCAAAAAAATAAGAAAAAAATTGACAAAAAATCTAAAAAATATTTTGTCTCAAGATTTTGATGCAGAATGGTGGAGAATCGATCCAGAAATCGTTTAAGGTACTCCGCTTGAGAATCGGATCAGGATTGGCGAAGATATAGCCATCACTGTGGACCCCATAGGGGAAAACCCCATTTTCAAGGGATCTCATCACGAAAATGGACAAAAAATCTAAAAAATAGTTTGTCTCAGGATTTTGATGCAGAATGGTGGAGAATCGATCCAGAAATCGTTTAAGGTACTCCGCTCGAGAATCAGATCAGGATTGGGGAAGATATAGCCATCACCGTGGACCCCATAGGGGAAAACCCCATTTTCAAGGGATCTCATCACGAAAATGGACAAAAAATCTAAAATTATATTTAGTCTCAGGATTTTGATGCAGAATGGTGGAGAATCGATCCAGAAATCGTTTAAGGTACTCCGCTTGAGAATCGGATCAGATTGGCGAAGATATAGCCATCACTGTGGACCCCATAGGGGAAAACCCCATTTTCAAGGGATCTCATCACGAAAATGGACAAAAAATCTAAAAAATATTTTGTCTCAGGATTTTGATGCAGAATGGTGGAGAATCGATCCAGAAATCGTTTAAGGTACTCCGCTTGAGAATCGGATCAGGATTGGCGAAGATATAGCCATCACTGTGGGCCCTATTGGGGAAAACCACATTTTCAAGGGATCCCACCACATAAATGGACAAAAAATCTAAAAAATTCTTTGTCTCAGGATTTTGATGCAGAATGGTGGAGAATCGATCCAGAAATCGTTTAAGGTACTCCGCTTGAGAATCAGATCAGGATTGGCGAAGATATAGCCATCACTGTGGACCCCATAGGGGAAAACCCCATTTTCAAGGGATCTCATCACGAAAATGGACAAAAAATCTAAAAAATATTTTGTCTCAGGATTTTGATGCAGAATGGTGGAGAATCGATCCAGAAATCGTTTAAGGTACTCCGCTTGAGAATCGGATCAGGATTGGCGAAGATATAGCCATCACTGTGGACCCCATAGGGGAAAAAGCCATTTTCAAGGGATCCCATCACAAAAATGAACAAAAAATCTAAAAAATAGTTTGTCTCAGGATTTTGATGCAGAATGGTGGAGAATCGATCCAGAAATCGTTTAAGGTACTCCGCTTGAGAATCGGATGAGAATTGGGAAAGATATAGCCATCACTGTGGACCCCATAGGGGAAAACCCCATTTTCAAGGGATCTCATCACGAAAATGGACAAAAAATCTAAAAAATATTTTGTCTCAGGGTTTTGATGCAGAATGGTAGCAAATCGATCCAGAAATCGTTTAAGGTGCTCCGCTTGAGAATCGGATGAGAATTGGTTAAGATATAGCCATCACAGTGGACCCTATAGGGGAAAACCCCATTTCCAAGGGATCCCATCACGAAAAATGGACAAAAAATCTAAAAAATATTTTGTCTCAGGATTTTGATGCAGAATGGTGAAGAATCGATCCAGAAATCGTTTAAGGTACTCCGCTCGAGAATCGGATCAGGATTGGCGAAGATATAGCCATCACTGTGGACCCCATAGGGGAAAAAGCCATTTTCAAGGGATCCCATCACAAAAATGAACAAAAAATCTAAAAAATATTTTGTCTCAGGATTATGATGCAGAATGTTGGAGAATCGATCCAGAAATCGTTTAAGGTACTCCGCTCGAGAATCGGATCAGGATTGGCGAAGATATAGCCATCACTGTGGATCCCATAGGGGAAAACCCCATTTTCAAGGGATCTCATCACGAAAATGGACAAAAAATCTAAAAAATATTTTGTCTCAGGATTTTGATGCAGAATGGTGGAGAATCGATCTAGAAATCGTTTAAGGTACTCCGCTTGAGAATCGGATCAGTATTGGGGAAGATATAGCCATCACTGTGGACCCTATAGGGGGAAACTGTGGACCGCTTTAGAATCCTATCAGGATTCCTCTCGAAGTTAGTATACCTTTCTTGATTTCTATATTTTTTTCTTCTTTATATGCACAATTTTTTAAATATTTCCCAAAATCTATATTAGATGTCTTAATAAAAATTGCCATAATAAATAACATTAAAAAATAACAAATATTTATTGCATGTGGCCTAAATCTAACAACTCTTGGGATTATGTAAGGAATACGATTTAGGAAGGAATAACCAGGCAGTTGGGACCCTCAAGGTCTGCTCTCAGTAAAGGGAGCCACGATGATGCAGGTGCCTGAGACGTTGATCCAGCAACTGGCGCTCATTGGACAGGGAGAGCGTGGACGAGGAGCGGTGCAGGGCGGGCAGGATCTGGGCACCAGCACCCCCTGACCCGTGACCAGCCACCACCGCAATAGCACCGGAACCAGCCTCCAGAGGACCCATTCCAGCGGTGTTCCCCACGGCGCGCGAGCGAAGAAGATGATTCCGTAGGGCTGCCCCGGATGGAGATTGGCGGCGCACCGAGTTGTTGAATGAGATCTGGAGAGAGAGACGCTTCTGCGACAAGGAGGCGAGGTGTTCCGGAGACAGTTCGATCACTTGGGGCGGGGCAGCTGCAGCCACCGCCATGGCAGCTGCGGTGGCGGCGCTATAGCTGGGCAGCGAGGACGTGGGCGAGGAGTTGCCGCAATTGCAGGTGGTCGAGGCTATGGAGACAGTGTCCGCTGCCCCACCATCTAGACCAGGTACATTGGTCTCCACCAAACTGTATCCCACGGCTGGCTCCTTGCCGCCGTTTTCGTTGCACTCGAATATCTTGATGATGGGCACTACGGCCGGGGTGAGGATGATGCCGGCCTTACGGAACTCCTCGAGAGCATCGTCGTAGGTGGGCAGCCCGGAAACAATAGTGTACGAGGGTAGGGATTCTGCCTCATAGTCTGGCGGGCAACGGCGACAGATTTCGATTGTGGCATCACTGTGATTGGCACGATCTGGAATAAGATTTAAAATGTTATTAGTATTTAATTTTAGAAACTTTTTATTTTATTTTATCCTTTTCCTACACCTTCCGGCTGGCAAAAAAGAACAATCAGAATTATCAAATCAATTCCTTCTGGTAACCTTTTGGGATTCGAAACATCACCAATAGCACTTAAACAATTTCCATCCCCCGGAACTGCTACCTTTAGTTTTTTTTTTTTGGGGATGCTGTTGCGGAAGTGAATGAAATTTTTATACCAAATGCTTGTTCGTTTAAAAGCTAGTAAAATGCCCTAAAGGCGGAGAAATGCAACCTGCGTCCAATTCCTGGTCCAACCCTTAAAAGTAGGCAACAAAAAAATTTATTGCAATTGTCCGGGATAAATGTTGCTCCTGGGATGGATGGAGGATGAAGAAGACGAAGGTGGTCTCCCCAAGAAGGTGAGTCAGCATCACCAGAAACTGTTGATGCGGCAAGCGTTTTTCGGTGACGTAGTACAAGATTTTGAGGATTAGCCCTGTGATGGGGAGTCCTGGAGAGCAAACATTGAAAATGACACACGCTTGGTTTCACACCCTTTTTTCCCGCCAGCAGGATGAGGATTTAAAGCCCGCCGCCTGCGGGTATCCGCCGACGGTAGATGGAAGACTGACAGTCAGACAGGCGGCCATTTTCACACCCACATGAACGGACCGCTCATTTTTTATTAGGCAGCGCTTTGTAAGATTACGAAATTAAATTGATGATGGCCAAGAAAGCGGGCGGAATGAAAGTGAAAACTCACGGGGGGGTGGCCTGGGGTCTGAGTCAGAAATTTTGGAAAACGTAGCACGACCTCCCGGAGGGAGCTGTCAACCCGTTCCCTTTGAAAACAGCTCAACGTGCTTAAGCCTTTTTGTAATTTTCAATTGACTTTTAGTTAATTATGGGTGGGCTTACATGGAGCTTAACCCATGGCTCCCAAAACGGAGCACTTTGGGGTGGCTCTGTACCTTGGCAAGGTAACTATTTCCAACCAGAATATCCAGATTTTAGATCTTGGCTTTAAGTTTAAGTTTCCATTAAAGTTATTCAGATGCCTCCTTTTGACAGCCCTTAACAACTACTTGACTTGATGAACTGTTGGGGCTCCGTAAGCCCCAGGACATACGCATTCAATTCCCCAAACGCAGCTTAGCAGGATAATAAAATGAAGTGCAGCGTATAAAAAAAAAAAGACGAAAGCCGCTTTTGGAGACGAAACGAAAATAAACAAGGCACAAAGTGTAAGTGCGTTGTGCATAAAATATTCGCCGCAAGATATAAGCCAACAACAAAATGGACACCGAAATTTCCACTACTCAATATGGCAAAGGTCATGAAAGTGGCTACACTCTGAGAAATTGAGCTACACAATAAAAGTGCGGGATATAATACAAACACTCCCAACTTTTCAGACTATTCTGTAAATATTTATACAACATTTTTTAATAATTTTGGTATGTTGGTAAGAGCATTCTATATATTTTAATTTTTTGTGCATATTATTTGAATTGAAACTACGACTAAAAGCGGAGCAACATAACCTAAGGCTGGCCAAAGATATTTGAACGTTGGCACAATACGAAAAAAAGCTAAACACACTTTATGTTGGGGCTTCGCTTTCGGAATGGGGGATTTGCGGAGGGAGTCAGTGTCTGAGGCTGTGGGGTGTCTGGGAGCTGGGAGGCGTTGTGCGTTCTGTGGATTTGTGCGCCAAACCACCAAGGCAGAAAAAAGAAAACAAACGACATACTGCTCGAGCGACCAAAAGTGACGTGCCCAGGATGAGGACGATGGAAATGGCAGTGTCGGTGGTGATGGGGACATGCCTGCCAGCAGACAACAAAAAATATATACAAGGAGATGAACTTATTTTTTGGGGATGTTCACTTAAAGAAATTTCATAGTTATAGTTATTCAAAAAATTAAAAGATAATCATAAAAAATTTTAAGAAAAAATTTAAGAAAGATGCAAGTATTTTTAAGATAGAAATGTAAGCTTTTTTTTAAAAGAGCATAATAAATAGTCTATTTTAATCCCAAGATAAATAAAAATATATTAAAAACTTTCACTTAAGAAAAATTATATTTTTAATCCTCAAATATTTATTTAATTTTTTGCTGTATGATTTGAAGATTCCAGTGGGAAGCTAGCAAACCCTCGGTTTCCCAAGCACGCAAGCAGTTCAGGCCCACCGCCCCCAACGCGAGCCAAAAATAAAAGCCCGCCCACATTTTTGGATGCTGCTCGACGTCGTTGCTTTTTCTCCGAGTCCATGGCCTCTCCAGCTCCCCTTTCCTTGTCCTTGGGGTTGGTAAACACGGCTCCAAATTGCCGTTTAAATTTCTCCCCAATGTCTACGCCCGGGGACAAAGCGGCCTTGAAACATTATTATGACTGTTTCGTTTCCCCTCTCGCTCCACCTGTTAGTCCTTGCCCAAGCCCCAATCCTTGGGCCCAGGGCCTAAGGCCCCAAACAACTTTATATTTGAAGTTGTGGCCGCCAGACAATGCCGGGGGAATTCTGAAGACAGGCGTTAACTGCTACCTATGCCTCCCACCGGAGATGGGAGTTGGGTAGCTGGGAGCTTGAACCTGGAGTCTGTGGAGCTTGGATCTGGGTACCTGGATCCGGGCTCTGATCCATGTCAAGGGTATAACTTATGGCCATGTCTGGTGCAGCTTCTGTTCTTTGTTTAACTAATTAAACTCTTGTAGGAACGAGAATGCAAATACCTTTTTGTGTTCTTGGCTAAAACACATGTCGGACGGGCCAGGAAAAAAGGACGAGGAAAAAAAAGGAAAATATTTTGGGCTCGTAACTAAACGCATGTCAGTATGCATTGTTTTCTTCAAGTCGGACACAAGAAAAATGATGTTGCCAAAGGCCAGGGTCTCTTAAAAATAGTTCATGTTTGAGAGGAAAGGCATTTAAATGACCTTCCATTGAAGAAAAATATAGGAAATTGGTTTAGAACTTACCTCTATTTCAAATGAAAATTATATTGAAAAAATGTATAAAAATAAATAGAGTCCTTTTATTATCCTCAACTATTTTATGTCTAGGCTCACTAATATTTTGAATCTCTATTTGCCGACTTCTTCCCTGGACAAATGTCCCATCATCTGCAACTGTAGCGCATTAAAACTAACTGCTAAATTATTAGGAAGACAACCCATCCATCTCATGGTTCCTCCCGGGCGCCTGGGCTCCTTCGGTTGGGGTCGTCCACACGAAAGGAAAACAGAAATGAAGAAAAATTGCGGCATGTCAGTCGGAGGCAGAGCAACAATAAAAAGGACAAAACCGACAACATGAAGACATCTTCCGTAACAGTAAACGAAACACGCGCCAGGAGCATCCAACATCCAACTCGGCGAATAACCCAGGACGAAAAAGTAATAAGTGTGTCTATTTGTTTGCAAATATTTCATTTCCCGTACCGTTTACTTTCTATCTCCCCTTTACTGTCCTCTACCCCACCGCCCACACTACATTTTGGATGAAAAAACAAAATATTAGAAACGACTTGGTTACGAAAGCAGCTTTTGAAATAAAACACTAAATTATATAAACGTATATCACATTTAGTCCTTGTTTATCGTCTTTTGGTGAACACATCGAATGTTGGAGACTAAAGCAGCTTAATAGGATACCATAGTATGTAGGTCCTATTGAAACATTTAAACAAAATTTTTAACATATTTTTCTTGGCTAAAATCTAAACTTTTTAGAAACTTTTGAGAGAATACCTTAACTATTTCGTAACCGATTGAAACATTGAAAGCTTTATGGTAAGCCGCTTTTAACACAATCAATTGTGTTAGAATTGTCCCAATTTGTGCCCGAAATCATTGCCCAAAAATGGCAAAAATTAAGTAAAAATTTTTGTTTCGGAAGGAAGGAAGGAAGGTAAGGTATTAGGAAGGTATACCATTTTTTTAATCTATCAATCTATCTATCTAAAATAATTTGGAAATCTTTAAAATAAGAGTACTTTTAAGGTGATTAAGCTTTTGATTAAATTAATTATTATGTTTGTGGAGAAATATTTATTTCGTTATCATTTCAGAATGAGAATATGTTTAATAGCCCATCATAGTCATTCTTTTATTTTTTATTTAAGTGATGTATTTTATTAGCCATTTAATTTGAGGCCCCGCTGCGGCTCGTCCGATTGATTTATGTACTTTGAACTTGCTGAAAGTTCAGCTAATACATAAAATGCAAACGGCGTGCGTAGACAAATCGAGGAAAAAAGTTAGTGTAATTTATAAAATGCAAGCACACATGGTGCCTGGGGCTTGGCACTGGGCTTGGGCTTGGGCTTGGGCCATGGGCCTGTGCGAGGCGCTGAATGTTATTAAAAACAATATAAACAACTTCCCGGTGGGCTGTGCCGGGTTGGTTGTTTATGGATGTGATGTGAGTGCTATGAAAAACCAGCCTTAAACCACAAAGCACCACTTGCCCCGTTGTGCGGCAGTTGCGGCAATTTTCAAATTGACTTTTGCACATGTTGCCGGTGTAACGAAAATGCGGGCCCGACATTGTAGCCAAAGTATGTTCCACTAGCCAAATAAAAAACAATGAGAACAACAAAATATGTTTCTACGAGCTAGAGTATAGCATGTTTTTGGAAAAATCAGTGTTGAGAAGAATTTTGGAGTAACTGATCGTTTTTTTAAGTTTATAAATTAAAAACAGAAAATAAACTTTGTATTATATGAAAATTTAAAATAAATATTGTATGGAATATACAAAAATAGTCCCTGAACCGACATCACCGATGAGTTTGAGTTTACCTCCACAAAATAGTACAAAAAAGGGGAACCCAAAATTGAAGAAAATCTAGAGAGCACCCAACAAATACGTGCCAATTGTAAGCGTGAACGGAATAATCAAATAGTTGGCAGCCAACTGGTCAAAAGTCGAATATCTATCAAAGAGGCATTAGCGGCAACAGCTGCTGCCTTGGCATTTTTCTCATTTTATTTGAATTAGACCGCCCATCGCCACCCGGCCGTCAACACTACCTTCGGGGAAGTTCGCAGCACTGCGCAAACAGTGTTGCAAACGATCACGCTTATCTCTGTGCGTGCGAGAGAGAGAGAGAGACACTTTGGCGAATTCATAAAACGATATCACTTCATACAAAGAATATCGATATATTGATATTTTGATGAATTATCAACCCTAGTGAGAACTCTCAGCGGCGTCGGTGGATTAAAAATTGTTCGGTTCTCTTTCTCGCTTTTTGTTGTTTGCGCGTGTGATTTCACTGAAAATAAAACAATAAAAGTGTATTGAGAAGCAAGCGCACAGTGGAAATGCTTAAAATGGCAAATGCTGCGTCGCCGCAGCAGCAAACGATGAAAAAAACAAACGACGAGGAGGATTCTGAGGACTCCGAAATCGACATGGACGAGGAGGAGGAGGAGGAGGACGACGAGGACGATCTTCCCGACGATGTGGGGCTGCAAATAGACAGCGAGGACGAGGCGGAGCTGGAGGCCCAGCGCATTCGTTTGGACGAGGCAGCAAAAACGGCGAAAACAGCAACAAAGGCGGAGAAGCTGGAGAAGGAAGAAGAAGCAGACGCAGCAGCAGCCGCTGTAGCAAAGGTGGTGGTAACAACAAAGTCGCAGGTCAGTAACGGGAAAGATAAAGAGAAGGCAAAGCCAAAGCCGGCTGAAAACAAAGTGAAAAAACCTCGTGGCAGGCCAACTGGGACGAGCAAGTCGAGGGCAAATGGACGCAGGGCATCCATCAGTTCCCTGGCCTCCAGTTGCTCCCTGGGGTCGCAGGACTCCACAGCAAGTGCGGCTGCTGTGGTGGCCGCTCAAGTCCTGGCGGATGAGAAGTCCCATCGGTTCATCTACAGCTGCTCGGACTGCAGCCATCACTATGCCGACAGCCTGATCCTCGCCAAGCACTTTCAGAAAATGCATGCCAAACCGAAAGCCAAGCGGAGGCGTGGCAAGACCAAGGCTTCCACCCCCGAAGACGAGGACACTCCGCCCCTGAATCAGAGCCTGCTGGATCTGAACAGCCTGAAGCCCTGTGCCCAGCTGCTCATGCAGGGAGAGTCCCTGCTGCAGTTGTGTCTCGCCTGCAACTCCCAGTTTGTCGAGACGAAGCACTTCCAGGAGCACCTGGGTCAGCAGCATGGATACTTTAAGCTCCTGGTGCCCAAGGAAGAGCCCACCGAACTGCCGCCTCTGGCCATGGTCACCATTCCCGGCGAATTGGCTGCCAAGTCGAGTGGCCAGCAGTTCCAGCTACCGATTCCTGCGCCAGAAACCCCGCCACCCGAGCAGGATGTCAAGGAGACGTCGGCGCCGGCTATTCAATCCAACGACAAGGAAGATCTGGACATGATTAGCGCCATGGTGGCCGAAATAGCGGCCGAGCGGGTGAAGAAAACCAGCAGCCCGAAGGTCAGTAAGATGATCATCAAACTGCCAACAGCGAACAAAAGGGCCAGCAAGCGGTCGAAGCCGGAGAAGAAGCGCGAAAAGAAGGCTACAAGCGAGGAGGAGAAGCCGGTGATGCAGGAGGGCTTGGCCTCTGAGGAGATGGAGCCTGCCAGCAAGAAACTGCCTCAAGAGAAAGAGGAGCCTCTGGAGCCGGCTACCGAGAAAGAGCCAGAAGATAAGCAAAACGAAGAGGTTGCCAAGGATCAGTTGAACAAGGATGCAGCTGCCCCTCAGCTTCCCGAAGTGACAGAGGAAGTCGGCAAGAAAGCGTGCACTTCAGGAAAGGAGAAGCCACCCCAGGACAAAGTTGTGAAGGAACAAAAGCCGAAAAAGTCAGAAAAAGCACAAAAACAATCTCAGAAAGTGACAAAGGATCAGAAATCCTCAAAGTTAAAGCAGCTGGAGCAGCAGGTATGTGTTTCTCAAACTCCCAGGCAACAGACATTCTCCAACAGATCATCCTTCTTTCAGGAAGCATCCATCCCACCGAAGCGGAAACGCTCTCGCAAAGAGCCGAAGATACCAGCGCCCATCCCAATGCCAGAAAAGGAGATCAAGAAGGAGAAGGAGGCAACAGAGACGACAGAACGACGAAAGCGCAAGTCGCGCAGCTTCTCGGCCGAGATCAAAGACGAGGAGGAGGACCTCGACGAAGAGGGACTGGACGATGACTCCTCGGCGACGGTTTCGCCTCACAACAGTTCATCGGACGACAGTTTCGTTTCGATCAAGCGTGAGTCATCCGAGGAGTCGCAGCGCAACGAGAACGGAGTCATTCATACGTGCAACTTCTGCGGCAAGACCTTTAAGCGTTTCTCCCGAATGCAGGACCATCTGCGTCTCCACACCGGCGAGAAACCTTACGCCTGTGGAATATGCGGCAGGGCGTTTCGCCTGAAGATGCGTCTCTCGGAGCACCAACTGCGCCACCGCACTGAGAAAGCGTACAAATGCGAAGAGTGCTCGATGCCGCTGGCCACAAAGCAAGATCTGTCGCTCCATATGCGTCACCACAAGAACGACCGGCGCTACAAGTGCGATAAGTGCGACAAGGGATTCGTTCGCAGCTCCGACTTGTCCATTCACGTGCGGATCCATACGGGCGAGAAGCCCTACGCCTGCGATCTCTGCGGCAAGGCGTTCCGGGCTCGACAAAATCTGGTGGTCCACCGACGCACCCATCTCGGCGACAAACCCATTCAGTGCGAGTTGTGCGACAAGAGGTTCGCCAGAAAGATCGACATGCGCGTCCACATGCGTAGACATACAGGTGAGTGGGACGATTGGTCATATTCGTAGCAAATATAACAAATATTTGGATTGGTTTTTAGGTGAGAAACCCTACAGCTGTGATGCCTGTACGCGTGGCTACTCGTCCAGAGTGAATCTCATCCGCCACCAGGAGCGGGAGCATGGCAAGACGGTGGAGAACAAACCAGAAGAAGACCATTCCGACTCTGATCCGGAAGCGAAGCCCAAAGCCAAACCGGCCGCTGCGAAGCGTCCGAGAAGGGAGAAGCCACAGAAGGTGGATGTCCAGGCGAAACTACTTGAAGACCTTCCGGACATTCGAGAGGAGTCGCCGCCCGCCAAAGTTGCTGTTGTGGAGCTGCCGGCGGATGCTGGTGCTGGCCGGGCCCAAGTTCAGGTCACGCTGTCGATGCAGGTGGAACGGGCTCCCAACCCGGAAGACGACGAGAGCATCACGCCGGAGAAGGAGAACGCCCTGTCCAGTGCCGCGAGTGGAGTCGAGGGAAGCGGCAAGGGCAAGACCAATCGCAAGATCACCAGCTACTTCACGGTGGTGGGCCAGCAGGCGGAAATCTAAAGACTTAAGTTCAGGATCAACCAACTTCTTACTCATTACCTTTTAAGATGCCACTGTACTTTGAAATGATGGACACATTTCGCCTCGCAATTTAATTTTTCAATTTTGCAATGCAATCTTGCAGCAGGGATCAAGTATTCTTTATAAACTATATACTATATATACGCGTATTTATCGTAAAAACCAAGAAAATGGAGTGAGCTTTTGAATTCGCCGGTTCTGCGGATGAAGAACGAACAAGGAATATTTAATGTTGTGAAGGACCAGGACCACTAACCAAGAACCAGAAAAGACTACTTTTTAAAAGAAAAAGATATTTGATATTCAAAAATAAGCAAGAGACTGCAAAGAGTTTTATACCATAAATATAAATATATATATTTTCATAATAGACAGAGCAACTTGTGTGAACAAAATAAGTATAACTATGTAAAAAAAGAACCAACAAACTAGCTTGTAAGAAAACAATTCGAGTGAAATGTTTGCGAAGACTAATTGTAAAGCCACTCGTGAAATTATCATTATTCACGATTATAATTATCGTGAAATTCAATTCCAACGCTCAAATTTGTATGAATAATACGCCGCCGTGTCGCCAAGATTAGATTTCAGTACACAAATTTCCAAATAATTCGATTTATTGCAAGCATTTCCTCGCCATTCCCCCCGCATTTATTCAGAGAATATGTCTTCTCGATTTCATTTAATTTATAGCACGTATTGCAAGTCATTTAATATGCAATTTATATGAAATTCCCAACATATACTCAATTCCAAATCACTATAATTTAGTTTTAATAATTTTAGTGTTTAGTTGCTAAGAAAGTGGATTCAAAACTATCTCAGAACTCTTACTATATTTATTTTGTAAACACATTTACTTTATAGTATTTACTTAAAATCTCGAAATGTAATCACATAAGGACATAAGGAGAGTGCATAAGGACGAAAAGTCAGCGACGTTTTCATCTCTATGGTCTGTCTAGGATCGGGCGTACTTTTTGTATATTGCATTTTTTTGGCAGCTGTTCTCATTCTTTAGCATCTAAGCGAGTCCTATGAATATATGCTATTTCATAACTTAACCTTGTCCTTTTATTAATGACACTTGCGAATCATGTTGTTCAACCCTCGAATTGCAATTACCTGAATTGGTGTGGGCTGTGCGGGGGGGATGTTTATGGGCCGGGACATCAAAAGGCAGCTGCTTCTGCGGCAGTCAGCCCTTGACCAATTTTCAGCACTACTGCAGCTCGGCAGGATTGGGGTGGACTATGGCTGTGCCGAGAGTGAATTTCGGTCGGTAGTTTGTCATTTATAATGGGGTTGTGTTTTGTAGTGCCACGGGGTTGATGTGCCACAGAAATATGCCACAAGAGAGCGAAATATTTGAAAAATATATGAAAAGATTCTATCCCCTGAGCGATCATTGAACTTGGCAAGGACAATAAAATATTTTCAATATTTTAGTTATCTTAAATATTAAAATAAGATTTATTTCTATGATTTATGAAGCCTTAAAGCTTCACTCCCTGACAGAACTTCCTCCCTATTTGGGTTTCTAAACAAAAACCAATTACAGGAGTCTCGTACTTTACTCGTTTTTGGCCATATGCTTATCAACTGAGCTCTGCAATGACAATTTATTTTGTTCTGGCTTTCAAACAGAAGCACAGCTAAACGAAAAAAATGGTAAAATCAGCGAATAAAAGAAACAAAGTCTAGTATTCTCTGGTTGCAAGCGCTTTCAATGCAATATTACGCATACGTAGCGTGGTACCGCGTGCTTTGTTGTTTGTGAGATTGTGCCAAAAAAAAAAGCAACTACAACTACAACTGCAAAAATAGAGAAAAAATAGAAAAGCAAAGAGTGAAGAAGAAGATAGCCGACGTGACAGCGTACACATATGCACGGAAGTTGTGCTCATGGTGGTGTGCGAAAATATGCAAATTAAGTGTGGCGACTTTTGTTGTCGCCGTTTTTTGGTGTAGAAAGCGTAAAAAAGCGAGCAAAATACGCAACCAACAAAAAAAAATGAACAACTACGAATACGTATACACATTATTTGGGTTGGCGATTGTGGAAAGCAAAGCGTCGAAAAAAAAAACAAGTATACGCCTCGTTGTACAGTCAGCAAGTAAGCGCGCTTGTGCTTTTGTTTGTATTTGTGTGTGTGTGTGCGATGATCAAGCCTGCTCTCCTCACACTCTGATGTTTTTGTTTCTGATTCTTGTTCTTTTTTGTTTTGGTTGTCTCTTCAGCATTTTTACACTTTTATGTTGCTGGCTTTTAATTGAATTTCGCTCGAGTCTCAGACTTTGACTTCTTCTGTTCTGTTTCGTTGCTGGTGTTTCTTTTTGCCGCAGCCGCTGTGGTTAATTTTAAAACTACCCATAAAAGCCACACGCTGCGCCGGCGGCGCAAGAGGCCAGAAGACAGGGGCGAGGGTGAGGGCGAGGGCAAGGGCGGCAGCAAGGCAGACGCTTGGCTTTTGGCCACTAATACAATTACGTTCTGCCATCGAGTTTGTTCTGGTTATGCAGTGAGAAAAAATAATGGACTCTTAACACTATTAGTATTTCCAAATATAATATCTATTGAAACCTACATATATAATAAAATCGAATATCCTAGACGAATTTATAGTGAGGGAGAATCCCCCTGGAAATCTCTTATAATTCTCTCTGTTTATAAAGTCTCATGTTTTTGTTTGTTGAGTCTCTTTGGTGTTTCTTCTGTTCTTCTTGCATTCTTGACGCGGTCGTTAACTTGCATCTGAGGCGTCGCGTCGTAGGAACGTGTTTTGTTGTTGTTTTCGAGCCGTTCTCCCAATAGCCGCTCCATGTTCTTGCTTTCTGGGAGAGCGGTTGTTTATGTTTGTGGTTGTGTTGTCTTTGGCGTCGCTGGGCTTTGTTGATTTGTTTGCGCAGCCCTCTCTAGTGTGTGAGCCGCTTTGCCAGAGAGTGTGTGTGTGTGTGTGTGTGTGGAAGGTGCAGTGAGAGCAGCAGCGTGTTTTCCAACACTTGAAATGGGCGCGTTTATTTTAAAGTTTTTGAATTGCCAACGGTGCGTATGCATGATATTAAAAAGAATATTGAAGTACTACTTTGGTTATTATTGTTTAATTTGATGAATTAAAACATCAAAAAGCCACAAAACCAAGTTAACAGTTCATTAACTCTTTCATACACAACCTAAGTGATTGTTTCAATATTTCTACTTCAACCAGCAGCCTGCAGCAAACAGCCTCGAAATGCAATTGATTTCCATATTCAATGCGGCTGTTTCAAGCGTTATCGAACGATTTTTATTCATAACTTTTGCTGACAACTCGCATCCATATGAAAAGCATTAAAAATTATTTATCCATAAATCATGCAATCGTTAATAAATAAAAAATTCATTGAAGTTCATTTCCCGTCGACAGTGAAATGGTACATAAACAAACAAACAAAGTCCAAAAATGTAAAAAATGAGTATTGACGAAAAAAAAACAGTAAAAATATAGCCAAACGCATAAATAAATCAGAGCAGCGTCGAAATATCAGCATAAATGTACGGCCTGTCGGTCTGTCGAACAAACAAATATTCATAATTGCACAAAAAAAAAAACAAAAACTCAAAGTCAGCTCCCGCAGGGCTGCCCCTGGGCTGAGGTGGGAAGGACTGCAACTAACCGCTGAATGTGCATAATTTATAAAGCTAATTAAACGCGCATTTAACTAATTAAAAATATAGCGCGCTTCAATTATTGAAATATGCTGCCCAATTATGATAAAGTCCAAATACGGAGAGAAGGAGGGACGGCTAATTTGAAGAATTTCCAATTAAAATATATGTATTTCTGGGAAAATCTGGGTCGGGGAAGAACAAAAACACAAAAAAAAAAGAATATTCGATTCCCTTGCCGAAAATATGGATGAATCGAAAGCCCAACGTGGCGAATACTTAACGCTAATCAAAATGTATATTACGTATACGACATGTGTGACATGTGTGGGGTTGGGGATGGGGAGGTGAGTCCGGGGTTCAAGCTAATTTTAGTGTTTGTTGTTATTGGCTTCGGCTGGTGTTACTGCTGCCGTTGCCTTTTTGGCTTTTAGCAACCAAATACTAATAGACATTTTGCTATGCTGCCGTGGAGAGTCGGGGAACACATGTCTATAGCTTTACAGTTAGCCCGCTGCTGCTACTGCTGCTTGCCAATGCAAAAACAGTTTCAATTAAGCAATTAGCGCCATTGAAACAAATCCAACACGTTTTGTGGCTTATAAACTGAAGCATCATGTCGATTGGTTCGGGCCCTGCGGTCGCCAGAAATAGGCTCTGGACGGGTAGACGGGGGTTTTTGTTTTCTGTGGCCATTCATTTAAGGCAATTAAAGGGTAATTGGGGTATACAAGTTGTATTGACAAGAGGAAATATTTGGTAATGTAAATTCGAAAGCTTATGAGCTAAAATTGGCTTGGTTAGGTTCGATTTTCCTTGATATACATGGTTTTAGAACAGAAACTGGCATTTTGATCCTTCGGATACAGTATTTCATAGTCTACTTAAGTGAAACATTTACTGATTAGAGCCTGGCTTATTACGCTCATTACTAATACAAACGCAAACTGCCATTTTAGTTAGTCTTGCTAATTTGCGCAACATTTTTGGGCTGTTCAGTTAACATATTTATGCGAAATTCGCGCTTCTACTCAATTTTAGCCACCAATTGAAAACAACAAACAGAATTTGCATATATAATCTTGATCCAGCTTAAGGCTTTTTTGTGTTATGCATTGACGTCACTGACTGCCATTATGAAAAGCAGCTACAAGCGAATTCTTACAGGATTAGAGGCACAAAAACGGGCATTGAAGCGAAAGTCGGCAAGGAATCGAAGGCCCAACTGGACATTGGCCCTGGGAGGATGATGCATCGCCATTGCCACTGCAATTTGCACTTTCATAAACCCAATAAAATGTGCCGAACGCTAATCGCACTTGCAAATTCAATCAATATCGAACTTCCTAATTGAATTAACAAATCGCCAAGTTTTATTTGCGGCGCAACCAACTTGATTAAAACGGTAGCAGTTGTTTTCGTACAATCAGAGTGAGTATTACTTAAAAGTTTATCTGAAAAGTTTGGCACTCTGTTGGAAACAAATATTAGCTGAAAGCGGAAAGGTGCGCCGGCTAATGTGAATTACTATTTATAAGTATAGATTTTATGGCTCTCAGGGGGTTAACACTTTATTGGGTGCTTCGGCACTCGAGTTAATTGGTAGCACTAATAATAAGACTATCATAATGACCATTTTTAAGCTTCTTGATATACCACTTCGTTATCAATTTCTGGCTAATCTATGGAACGAACTAAAAATAAAAAGTTTCCGGGTTATGGGATCCCCTTGCTAGGAAAACCATAAATCCCTAGCCGTATCTGAATTTAATCAAGTCCGGTTGCAAACAAATTTAAAACGTGTATTTACTAATTAAAGCCTTTAACCAAGCAAACCACTAAAAGGTGGCAGCTTAAAACAATAAGTGGCGCAGGGCAAGGAAAATCATTTAAAATAATAACAATGACGGCACGGCAACAGAAGCAACAAAAACAAAAAAAAAGGAAGAACAAACAAAAAGATAAACAACTCATTAAGGGAAATTAAACAGCCGTGAACCGAAACGAAAGCCATGTCACGACCCGTCACTCATACGCACTGTTGTCAGTGCGTACATACGAGACTGACAGTTCGCGGTTTGATAAAGATTCTCTTTATTTCTCCAGAAGAGAAAGGCATTCCCGCAAAAATACGTCACATAAGTAGTATTATATTTTATGAGAAGATAAAACCGTATTAAAATTGCTTCAAGTGACTGCATGAGATAAGGTACTTAAACTTTTTGTTTGTAATTTTTAAATTTAAATAAATACATCTTGTTGGCAAAGTCAGACAGAAAACGTGTCTAGGCATTGGATAACTAGGAAAAAAGTTGTTTTAGGGGTAAATAAAATAATGTATAACAAAAACTTATTGTCAGTATAGAAAGGAGTGGAGTTGTGCCAACAAAAGTTGGCCTTAAGAAATCATGTGAGTAAATACGAGGCACTTTTAAAAATAGCTCTAATAAAGATTGAGCTAATAATATTTACTTATATTTTTTTTTAAGATTAAGACATCTCCTGCCATCAAACACAAGGCCTTGTCAGGTCTTGAGCCTGGTTCTCTTTGAAGCCTGCACTTGACTTACATTCGCCCCCTTATGGAGGCCATTGAATGGTTCTAATTGAATGGCTAAAAGAAATAACCCGCCTGGCAGCCATTTCGACCACAAGCAAACAATTGACAGCCAGATGAGAGACGAGAACATTTTAATTAATTAACACAAATTTGCAATGTAATAGAAGAGACAGGGCAGTCGGGACTTGAGCCTGAGGAAAACGTAAACAAGAAAGCTGAAGGAGGAGTGCTTGAGACTCTCTTCAAATGGGCCACTTGACTGCAACTTTAATTAACTGGAAACGTTATGTTTGTTTTTGAAAGCGGCCAACGGCAAAGACAATGGCCCGTCAGATAAGGCTCGAAACCGAAAAGCTGTTTTCCTTCTCCACTGGTTTAATCAATACATCTGGCAATTTATTGGCCTAATTGTCATATAATTTATAAGAAAGGGCAGATTTTGACTTGGCAGTCTGTACCAGCTTCTGTCTTCTCTAATTATTATTTTGGCAAGTCGTTTTGGCCAAACAGATAGCTCATATATATGGTGTTGACTGGCTGGCAAAAGTTGTGAAATTTCTCTGTTTCCAAGTCACAAGATTTGGTCTCGGTTTCTGGTATGTGGTAAGTAAATAGAAGCCGAAATTTCAGGTGAATCATTCCCCACTGGGCCTGACTTTATTGTTTTGTTTCTGCTTCTGTTTTAGTTCTATTTATTTGCTTTATTTTTGTTTTTTTGCGTTTGTGAAAAGTTCTTTCCTGACGCAGACTTTGCTTTTGGTACTTTTGTTTGTTTGTTTTTTCATTTGTTTTTATTTTTGTTTTATTTTTGTTTTTCCCTTTTTTATATTGGCTCAGCTCTTGCCGCTTGACGCCACGTTCTGGGCTCTAAAGTCCAAGTCTAAACGGGTTTTCATTTTAAGCTGACGTTTAATTCAATTCAATGAATCTGCAATTTGATTTATGGATTACCGCGAATCGGAGTTTTCAAAACATTGTTTATTTATGATCTGTGATGTGTAATGTGTGTAAATATGAAAGCATTCACTAAATGTATTCCATGAATAATCGAATTCTATTGGTTGATTGTGTGTTCATAGAGGATAAATAAAATAGAATTATAGTTCCTATTCAGTTATTGGAATATCAAGTATACGCCCCATACCAATTTAAATATTTAACTCAATATCAAGTATACGCAGCGTAAGCCAGACTTACATGAATTCTTCCACTGCTGGAACTTGTGGTAGACAAAGCAAGCACAAATGAAGAATATCACAAAGACGATGAGGAGGGTCAGGATGACGCCTATCCAAATATCGCTGACCACATGGGCAAAGTCCTTTTCATCGTCGCCCGTGTATATCCTGGATCCATGGGCTATGTGGGGTGTGGGGGATCTAGCTGCTGGAAGGACGTCGTTGAAGAGATCATCCGCCACATCTGCCACATCATTGGCCGAGGCGGCGCCACTCAGGTTGATCTCCACCTCCTGGCGGTCGATGGTGAAGTTGCCGAGCGCCGAATCCAGGCCCAAGGCCAGCTGCTCCAGTTTGTTAATGAGTATGGAGTAGTTCCCTGGCAGATCGAAGCCGCCCAGATCGAGTTTTTCGCCACTGCCGCTGGTGGTGGCATTCAAGGTGGCAGTGGCATTGAGGCCGCCAGCATCGGTGGCAGGGGAAGTTGTGTGATTGAACCCCGATTCATGGCTGCTGTCTTCGAGGCCTGCCAGCAGGTTGCCCGTTATATTCAATGCTTTCAGTATTTCGGCCATGGCTTAGAACACTTTAATCTTCGTTGTATTAATTTTTAAAATATTTATTTATTTTTTATTTTATCACTTTTCTATATTCAGCTGCGAGACATATGTCTATTTTTCTTCGACTCAGCCGCGATGCTGGAGCTTCATTTCGCGACTGAAAGGCCCCAGCGAGTGTAAAGTTGCAAATTTGTTGGATCGCTTTTTGTCGGCACTCCCGGCCTGGCATATAGATTCGATCTTTTTTTTATATTTTATCTCCAGCCCCTACTTTATGTCGTTTTTCACTTTTCAACTAATTGTGTTAACGCATCGGTGTTAATTCGGCTTACGCATCTTCTGGCAGCTCGTTCGGGTTTTTGTAGAAAATTGTATCTCGCAGATACGGCCTGCTCGCATTGCTGATTTGTTGTTCAAATATTGATTAAAAAAACACACTTTTTTTTTATAAATATTTTTTTTATGAGTTTTTACCACCCTGGGGGGAATTTATCTGAGCAATAAACGTATGCACAAGTATCTCCTTCGGCTGTCTATCTGTATGAATTCAGTTTATTGATTTGCCAAGTGGAAATGAGGGAAAACATTTGTCTGCTCCGTTTCGTTTAATCTCTGCCACCTTCGAGGCTGTTAAATCTCATCATATTTGCCTGGCTAATTCCCGATTACACGTGAAGTGCACATAATATACTACAATTGCAATTCAAGGCAGCACACGTGCACACCTCCCTAATCTTATTTAAAATTGAGTAAAAAATCTGATTACAGGAGAGGTTCATTATACAATTTATGTTTAAGTAACAGGTATTCTCAGTTGTTTTTTCCAGTTTGGGCTGGAAGTAGGAGTTCCTATAACCATCAATAAAATCTACTAACAAGCCCTAAAGTATACACCCCATCGGGTTAACAGACAGATGACTTTCCTATTTATAGAACAGCTTCGACAAACAGGCAATTAGGCCAATTGTTTTCAGTGTTTATAGGCTGGTTCATAAAAACTGAGGATACTGGGGAAACCCTATTGTATATCATTACAGATATCAGAGTCTTAACAAGTGTATATATTTAAGGGAAGTAGACTAGATCGAAATAATTACTGAATAAATATGGTGGAACATTTTTTTTATAAAATAAAGTATGGAAACAATAGCAGCAAAAGTTTTTTCTTTACTTTCCACTAGATCTTACTTTTGAATTTTAAACTTTTCAGGGCAAGAGTTACTTGTCATTTATTTTCACAGATTTTCACCGAGCTTAAATATTTGGCGCCAACTTGGTTATAGGCATGTAGTTTTTCAGTTTGTTGCCAAACAAATATCACGACCTTTATCAACAATAATAACAAATGAATGATTAAACAACTCGCGGAACACTTTTGTTAATTTTTCAGTTTTTTTTCTGTATTTTTGTATTACTAAATGAACCGAGCCCGGGCGCTTGTTTACAACAATTAAGGTTGCTTTCTTGCAAGCGGCTTGCAATTATAGCCACGTTAACAGAGAAGTTAACTGGCAGCGGTGGCGTCGCGACGCTGACTGCGATATGATTTTTTTTTTCCACAAGGCGGTACAACGTCTATCTAGACGGCAGCAGCAAAGCAAACGAACCAAGTAAATGAATGAGTGACTGAATGAATGGCCAACTGACGGGCCGCCTAGCGGACCCTAGACTCAGACTGTGATTGCGATTCAGATACAGATTCAGATTGAGATTGAGATTCGGCCTCAGCTCGATCGACATCTGGCTGGAAGATGCTGCAAAAAATAAAATCAACTCGCTTGGCGACAGCAGAAATCAATTCCAGTAAATTCCGGCTGTTTATTTTTGTTATTTTGTACTTTAAAACTAATATTGGCATTGATACTTGAAAATTTTCCCATATCACACGTTATTGGTATTTTCTGGTTTTGATTTATTTTGGCTTTACTGTGATACAGCCTATTTTTGCATATAACGTTTTCAGCTACGATGAGTTGGCAACAAATTATTTTGATTATTAAAATATTTATGCAGGTTTTAATTACATTTTTACGGGCTGGGTTTATTGATTTCCATATTTCTATATAATCAAAGTAGAGCTACACATTAGGTAACTAAAAATATATATATTACATGAAATTAGATTGTATTTTTTATTTCCAATTAGTATTTCCATTTCCTTTAAGCAATTAAATAACTTCTATTTTTTATTTATTCCAGAAACATTTACTTTCTCAAGCCCTTGCCCTTACATATTCACTTAGAATTTAAATAAAATATTAAACAAACTTTATTGCCTTCGCTTGGGTGCATTTGTGATGCAAAAATATTAGAGATTGCTCTTCTAATCCGTTCATGCATATTTCAATTTTATGGCATATCATTTACATTTAATTTTATGCATTGGAATTAGGCTGCCGAAATGTGAACATTTCATGCACAATTTCGCACCGAGGAACCGGAGTATTTTATTAGTTTTGGCTTTTAACAAATATCGGCCATAGGCCTTGTTCGACGGCATGTTTTATTATCTTTTCGTGTGTGTTTATTAAAATTTGCATTTAATTATTTCGTTTCATTTCATTATTTGCAATTTGTGGCTGCTGCACTTTGCTACCGAATGCATTATGATGTGGCACCAACATGCATACTTATACTATACCAGAATAATATCAATAAAGATGTGCTTTAATGTGATTGCATAATACCCAATGGCTTAAAGTTGTTTTGTTTGTGCGCTTAGTGGAAGTAATTTTTCCTGGGTTTGCGGTTAACTATTTGCAAATCACAAATTGATTCGATCGAATGGATGATTATGAATTTTGCATTTTCTATTGACTTAATGGGTGGCGGTATGCTGTATGTTTGTATTTTATGTATTTATGAGCATCGATTGCAATTAGCATTTTGCACTGGCTTAGTGACGCATGATAAGAGCTTTATCATTTCGAAATTATTTTATTGATATTAGCACTTGAGCCCTAAACACTGTTTACCCGCTTAATCGATTTTAAAGAGCTCTGTGTCATGTGATTACCAATTGACGGATTGTCAAGCTGCTTAGGCTTATCGCAAAAAAATCTTTGCCCCATAAAGATAGAGCTTTTATTGGCACTACAGACTGCACTAGCAAATCAAATAACAATTAACTGCATCGAATGGCCTCTTTTTGCGTTTTAAATGCAAAATAAATTGAATGGCTGTGTAATTGGGTTGAAAGCCCTGCCTGAATATGGAACAATGCCTGATTAAGTTATTGTTCTTTTTTAATCCGTATTTCTAAAACGGTTTCCAGGTCACATTTATGGGCATTCCCTCGCTGGCTCCCCACTCTAATATTTATCTCAAGTGTACTCTAGATTTATTTTGAGTAGCCGGTTGCATTGTTTTTCACGTTGATTCCTTATCTTGAGGGGCCAACTAATCACCGTGACAGCTTGTACTAAAGGGAGATTACTATTTACGTCCTAGCCCAAATATGTGTTAAATCTATATTTATTAATTTTATGGAAAAAGTAGCTAATGAGTTTTTAGTAGGATTGTGGTTGGGTTTGGTTTTAACTGGAATTCGGTCATGGCTTCTACATTTGCGTGGCAATACAATCATGATAAGTTATTGTATAAGAAGGTTGATTCTATAATTTTATAAAATCTTTAAAATTTTGCTTTTTAATAGTTTAAAAACATAGAATTTTTAGATCCTTTTACATTTTACACGGATCGCACTTTATTAGTTTTTATTTTTGACATCAATATATAGTCAAGTTCGCAACCCAGTTCCTTTCAATTATGGTTCTGGGCTAGACTAGATTTTTGGGCTAATTAGATCACCCTAGCCAAGAAACTTACCAAAAGAAACACCCATAAAATTATGTAGGGGTTAATAAGTCTTTTTTAAAAAATTAAAAGAAACTATTGGGTAAAAAAAGCATCATTTTTAATTTGTATTCAAGGAAATTCCTACCTTAATATCATTATATAGCCAATACCCTCATAATTTATTATATATTAATACTTAATAATTTCAATGTTTACCTTTTAGCGTGCCAGACACCAGGGCACTGGTAAAAAAGACAAACAGGTGCAAACCGGTTGCGCATGCGCGAAACAAAATAATCAAAAGACAAAATCATGCGCATTTCACAACTCACGTGATGACGAACCAATGACTGACACACAAATTATTCAACCAGTTTTATATTTTTAAATGTAAAAAAAATTAACCTAATTACATATATCAAAACATGTAAGAAGGAAAAATGCTTATCAAAGAATTAAAAATGAGAGCTTGCCGTCACTGTGTCTGGTGATAAGATCTAGCTTCTAGATAAAAATAATGCTTACAAGCAAAAAGTGGTCATGAAATAAAGTCCATATATCCATCACCTTTGGAATTTCGTCTGATATCGTGCGGATAGATTATCTCCTAAAAATCTCGCAGTCATGCTGATTAAGACTTCAATTAAGTAACGCTGGAATGGTTCATCGTGCTTGTTGTTGGGCCTGTAACCCCTCCGGAATTTCCTATGTCAGCTTTCAGACCCGCTGCCAACATTTCAGTCCAGTTGAATATACTTGGTAAATAGTCGTCGGTATTTGCACATTTTTCCCGCTTCAGTTCATCGTGAGGAGGTGTTCAAACAAAGGAAGTGCGAACAGTTTGCAATATGATATATCCATATATGTATTATATGGAGTAAGTATACCCTATAAGGTGGCATATCAACGGCACGCAAGACATTTAATTATAGAATATTGAGTAAGCATGCGATAACTAGACGGGGTCTTTGAACGAGAAATTTAAGAACGGGGTTGTGAAACTATTTTGATATTATTTTATTATTGCAATTATATGTATCCTTAAGTAGTTCTTGACCTACATCGAGGTAAGGTTCCTTTTTCACATTAAAAAAAGAAAGAAAAGCTAACTTCGGGTGGATCCGTTCAGTTTAGTAGTTATATGTCAGCTTCCCCAATCCTGATCCGATTCTCAAGCGGAGTATCTTAAACGATTTTTGAATCGATTATCCACCATTCTGCATCAAAATCCTGAGACGAAATATTTTTTAGATTTTTTGCCCATTTTTGTGATAGGATCCCTTGGAAATGGGGTTTTCCCCTATGGGGTCCACAGTGATGGCTATATCTTCTCCAATTTTCATCCGATTCTCAAGCGGAGTACCTTAAACGATTTCTGGATCGATTCTCCACCATTCTGCATCAAAATCCTGAGACGAAATATTTTTTAGATTTTTTGCCCATTTTTGTGATAGGATCCCTTGGAAATGGGGTTTTCCCCTATGGGGTCCACAGTGATGGCTATATCTTCTCCGATTCTCATCCGATTCTCAAGCGGAGTACCTTAAACGATTTCTGGATCGATTCTCCACCATTCTGCATCAAAATCCTGAGACGAAATATTTTTTAGATTTTTTGCCCATTTTTGTGATAGGATATCTTGAAAATGGGGTTTTCCCCTATGGGGACCACAGTGATGGCTATATCTTCTCCAATTCTCATCCGATTCTCAAGCGGAGTACCTTAAACGATTTCTGGATCGATTCTCCACCATTCTGCATCAAAATCCTGAGACGAAATATTTTTTAGATTTTTTGCCCATTTTTGTGATAGGATCCCTTGGAAATGGGGTTTTCCCCTATGGGGTCCACAGTGATGGCTATATCTTCTCCGATTCTCATCCGATTCTCAAGCGGAGTACCTTAAACGATTTCTGGATCGATTCTCCACCATTCTGCATCAAAATCCTGAGACGAAATATTTTTTAGATTTTTTGCCCATTTTTGTGATAGGATATCTTGAAAATGGGGTTTTCCCCTATGGGGACCACAGTGATGGCTATCTTCTCCAATTTTCATCCGATTCTCAAGCGGAGTACCTTAAACGATTTCTGGATCGATTCTCCACCATTCTGCATCAAAATCCTGAGACGAAATATTTTTTCGATTTTTTGCCCATTTTTGTGATAGGATCCCTTGGAAATGGGGTTTTCCCCGATGGGGTCCACAGTGATGGCTATATCTTCTCCGATTCTCATCCGATTCTCAAGCGGAGTACCTTAAACGATT